TGAATTTAGTCGGTGTTGCTTCTGTTGAACATGTGACCTGTCAGTTGAATTCTATTTTCAAAAAAATTTTTTTGAGAATCGAACAAAAAATGTGCGTTCCAGTTATGCACAGCATTGTCATTGTTGAATTATAACTTCTTCATTCTTTCATCTCACTCTGTTTGCAAATGAATTTCTCTTGGTCGTCAGATGTCCATTTTACTGTTACGATGATTGTCTCATAATAACCTTTAAACTAACGCTTCTTATACGATCACCTGTTTCGTCTTTCATAAAATATGAGTCATGAAAGTAAATATCACCAACACGATAGTCACTTTCTAGTGACAATCACAAAACTTTGACTAGCGTCTCTTTTTTTAGCAAGTAAATTGAATGATACACGCAACACTGGTAATAAAATTGCACCTTCTGCAAAATGTTCATTTGATAGATTTGAATGGATGATCGATTTAGTGATGGTTGATTTGAAGATATTCGATGAATTCTATAGATAATTTATTTATTCATAGGTAGAAATATGTATGTTCAGAAAGGGACCGGACAACGCTTGTTTGGTTCAGATGCTTATCTGATTGTGAGAAACGTCCTCATTTGATGATACATACATTGCTGCCGCGGCTATTAAATAATAATTTCTTATCTCTTCATTTCTTTTGTTTCCTTCATTTCGATCTTACGAAATGTATTATCAGCAGTTCTATTCTCTCATTCAAACACGTACGTTCTGTTCTGGTCATCCGTATGGAAGATAAACATCGATTTGCTCTTCAGCTGAACAGAGATTTATGAATGCAGCTCAAATCACCATTTCCCAATAGGACTGCCTACTATAACCGTGATAGTCTATCCTATCATTATATCCAAATCCTTTTGTTTTTCGCTTCGTTTGAATAATGGAAACGTTCTGATAGTGGAAATCATTTGTCAAATTGAGTTTTATGATTCTCAGCCGTACGCAACATGTTGTACGAAGGCCCAAATCATATGTGGCATACCAACCGTTTTCTCCTTCCAACACCCAAGTGAAAAGCAGCTTTTATGAAAAGAAACCGTTTTGAATTCGTCATTTTGACGGTAGCACGTGATACATCTTTTAAAATCAGCTGGAAGTAACGGATGTGGTGTTGGCTTAGTTTCGTTTTCCACATCTGATTCATCATCTTTTAGTTTAGTATAGGGACATTTGGAATTCAATAATCATTCACGTGTTCGTAATCGACACTTTTTGCATGTGAAGCAATTCCTTTCATATGCGTTCTCTTCATGCCAGCGAACAGTTCTATGACATAATTCTCAATTTGAGACACTCGCAAAATCGTTTTACATCCATCGTGTAAAGTGCTGATGTGCACATTATTCCATGCTTAAACAATCCATTGAATAAACGTCATCAGGTTTACACGTTTCAGACATTCATGGATGGTTTGCCTTTGTCATCATCTAATAACAGTAATTCGCATAGACCTTTTCGCTAACATTATTCCTGAAACCTGTGATGCGTTGTTCCATGCTTGTATTGAAACAATTATGTTTGGTAAAAGAAAAGTTACCTTTATGCTATCATCTTCAGGTGTAGGTTTATCTATTTCACAGTTAGCTGAGAAATTAATTATATTTTCTTAATGTAGTGTTTCGACGCAGATTCATCTCCAGTAATCTTTGTTTCACTTCCGCTGCAAAAGTTCTTACGAAACCATTTTTCTCAGCTCGTCTCACTCATCCACGCGATACTCCAACTGGAATAAGTAGCAGGCGGATTGTTGGGACCAATACTTCGTAACTATTTTTGTTCTTTTTGACGTTTTTTGACCGCTCGAATACCAGAGGGTTCGGATTTAGGAGAATAGATTACTGTAATAAGATATAATGATATATTGTTTCGTTTTTTTTCCTGATTTGCACTTGATTTTCATTCTTTTTCCCTGCAAACATTCCTGTGCAAGATGATATCAATCGGAACTGAAACGCCCTTGTTTTCGTAATATTTTGGTCGTTTTCATGCACTTAAAACCGTTGTTGTATCATCTGAAATTGTGATTGTTATTGTTGGAAGTCAAAAAAGCAGAGATCTGATGCCAGTCACGTGATATTCCTTCTAGAAGAAGCTATCGTCTTTCAAAAATTATTAAAACTGTTGGGCATTCCCAAGAATTGGGAATTGTTGAAGGTGTAACACCTGACAACAATATGAACGAATTTATTCACTTAAATGTATTTCGTTTATTCTGAACATTGAAGCCATACGCCGTTAAAATTCACTCGAAACTGAAGCGAAGCAAAAGCATCGCTTCAGTGTTATACATTATTGAATGATATCACTTCCAAAAAAGCGAAAATGATACGATTCCTTGTTTGAGTACACAACCTTTCTTACTTTCAACCATGCTCATCATCTCTCAGTATGAATTGTTCAGTCGATTCCATTTCTGTGCCTCACAATGCTGTAGTAAACGATCACTGCGGATTTTCCATCACAACTTTTCATATCCCAAATCCTTCGTGCATACTTCACCATTTACACGTGTAATTTAATCATGTTACCATCTTCAGTAAACAATGTGACTTTCAGTGCTCAAAACTCATTGTGAAGACCACATGTGTACTGAAAGAAGTATCATTCGTTTGAAGGGGGCTGAATGTTTCATGTTCGTGTGCTAATTAATCATCCATATTATAATATATGTAAATCTTGAATATGTAGTACCCGGATGGTATGCTATACAATCCAAACGAATTGTGAATTTACGGGACAACCAACCAGCTATATGAGTGCTAACTATTATAGAGCACACCACTGATGAGAGGCAACAAAGGAATCTCATTCGCTATCGCTATCGCTTGTTAAATGTTGTGTCAGCAGATTCATACAGATTCCAGTCTATGAATTAAATTTGCACTTTCGTCTATCATCCATATTTCTATCATTAGTATCGTTTTCATAAGTTTTTTCAGATATGTACATATGACTAAATAAATGAATAAAAATGAATGAATACTCATAACCAAATGTATCATATCATAACTATAATTTACTGTGCATTCCACGAATGGATGATGTTTATATTTATTTATCTAATCAACAAATCCAAATCATTACGAGTTTATGCTTCTTTGTTATCATCAATATCACTAATATCACATTCTTTCATGTATAATGTGATATCACTTATACGTCCGCATTAGCATTTCGTATAGACTGTTCAAATCGCTTGCTGAAAAATTGGGAAACAGTTGCGTGGCGTTGGAAATTCTTCATGCTGATGATAGTGTTGTAAAAGGATGAATAAAAAAGATCAAGTTTCAGGACATTTTTACGGTACACCGAAACCGACAGAGGAGAATGAAATGGTGAGCGATTCGAAGGGACCGTTGCCGCCGAACTGGGAAATTGCCTATTCGGAAGAGGGAGAGAAGTATTTCATCGAGTATCATTTTGGTCCTTACGATTTCTGACCGTTTTCAACATTCTTTTATTATAATAATTTGAATGAGAACATATTCCAAACGCATCAGCAGAACTCATTTTGACGAAAGAGGTTCTTGCCAACTTGCTCTCCCAAATATTTCTCGTCGATTGGTGGAATTTTTTCGCGCTTAAACTTCCCTTTCAATCTATTTATTCCAATTGATAGTCTCTTTATTGTTTAACTAAGTTCAAATTGAAGTCACAATTCTGGCACTACGCAATGGGAGGATCCGAGGGAGTTACCTGAAGGTTGGGAAAAAGTGGACGATGAAGTGTACGGCACATTTTATGTTGAGTAAGTTTGCACGATCTCGTTCGAAAATCTACACTTAATAGTCACTGATGGTTATGAAATAAAGTAAGTTTTGAATAGTGCATACGATGACGCTGAATTTGCATTGGCATAACCAAAGTATTAAGTGATCAAATGTTAACAGAGGAACAAAATGCGATCCTGATAGTCAGTCGAGAAAGGTTCTGGAGTTGTTGTATGAGTGTGATGAAGTGGAATTGTTTCAAAGTTAATGAAGAACAAATGGTGCGACAATCGCTGTTAGACAGTTTCGAATAACGATTCATTCGAGTGTTCGGCTATCAATTAGTTTGTTGAGCGGTCAGCAATAAATTTGTTCTATAACGTTTGATGCAATGAAAATAAGTGAAGCAGATGAACGATATGAAACGAAAATGCGAAGTATTATGACAGCCACTTGTTGATATTCATTTGCCTTGGGCAACGACCACCACCGAACTGCGAGATGAATTCAAAAAACGCACGATCCAATCTAACAACAACGAAATATTGGTTGCTCATGTATCTTGTGCCTATCGTCGCAACATGTGTGGAACTAATCTGCTTGCCATCATCCCACCCCATACTGCGTTTCGTTTCGTCTCGTATTGATCTAGAATGCTTTCATATCCACACATGTGCTGTTTTCTTATCTTCCCCGTTCAACTCATCATCTCATTCTTGCTTCCTTTCATCATCCCTCTCTCCGATGCTAATCCAGAAACACGACTCAAATAAGTCATCCTTTTACCAGCTGAACACTCATAGTTCATATTATCCGCGCCATCATTTATTACTGCCAAACCGGATACCTATGGTGCTAGCACAAGGTATTAACGACAATTCAATCTCTTATATTAGTGTCAGTTGTTTTCAGCTGTTTATTTAGATGATAACTACAGTTGATTTGTACCATCCACTTCCTAAGTATCCTCTGCGTTTCAAAATTTATTACTGCTCAAGTACCATCCATCATCATTAATGTGCGACTTGCTTGACCAACTAGTCTTCTTCAGGTGATGATTGATCAGTCACTTTTTTCAATTCTTTTACTATTTAATTGCACTAATTCATTCATTGTTTCAGTGAAAGTCGTAATTTGAATCCTTTTTGCTTCAGCTGCAGTTCCTTGGAGCACAAACTGTTTTACATTATTGTGTTTTCGATTAGCCCATTTTTTCATTAGTACGTTCCACATTTTATGCTAGACAACAACTGCTCAATCGCCATCCCTTTTAGTCATCCAATTTTGCTGCGACGTTGAAACGGCCCATATCAAAATTAATTTTTCTGCGCTTATTTTTTGGCTTGAAGCTTGTTTCATATTATTAATGTTTACTTTTTTATCATCATTATGAAATTACTATCTCTTCCTCTGCAAATTATTGTTATCAATAAATTGCTCATTGCATACGTCTTTGGTATGCACTCATTTCTGCATACGTCTCATACTCATTTCAGCATTCTTATGGGTTTTCCACTTCTTTTACGCCGTTTTTTTCTGAATGAAGTGCGCTTGAAGCAAGTTATCGTTCAAGTCTGCCTGTCTGCGGAATGTTTCGTATGCAAGCACTCGTATGGCAGTCGTTTGACTGAACGTGTATTGATTCATAAGTTCATCCAATTATTGAGCCATATCTTAACAATTTCAGCAATCAAAAAAAAACTAATTATCCGTTCAGTGAGCTGTGGACCACTTTCTTTTTGTTCTTTTTTTCGGTCGGCACTGTATCATGACTATTTGCAGCATACTTGTCATTTTGAACATCGTACTTAGCTCTAATAGCAACAGCTTGCAATTACATCTCATGCTTGTTCATTTCTTCGCTAAAGCTTATTTCCACCGAAGTGAAATTGAACTTACTCATCATAATGATTCATAACCACTGGAAGGGATATTGAAACGAATGGAATCGCATTACCGAATGACATTCGGGTGTTAACTGAGTGAAGATTCAATGATAAAAGTTGCTAGTTCTGGTTTTATATCAATCTCTTTCAGTCATGTAAATAAACGAACACAGTATGAACGTCCATGTAGTTCGGCTTATCAGAACGTGCCAGCGACGAGTACGAGTGCAACGGCTGCTGGTCTGTCATCTCCTGCAGCGGGTAGCTTATTGAATGCGAATAGTAATGGGTTTGCTCATAGTGGTTCGTCGCTTATCACTAACTCGTTGACGTCAAATAATGTCAACAATCGACGGCATTCTTCTCATTACAACGCAAATCTGTCACCAACCTCACATCGTCAACACACATCTCTGATAACCACTACCACCAACATGTTCACCAGGTGCACCATCTTTCTGGTTTTTTCTCTGTGTAATTCCGCTCAAGTTTTTTTTTCGACTGATGGGGATGGATTTGAGAAGAGTATCCGAAAAATGAACTCATTTTCTAATTGATCATATATCTGTGTATTTCAAAGTTTATTTTAACGTCTTTCATTGCTATTGGCTTTGTAGCGATCCATCTCAACTCCGTGGTCAGATTATAACGACCAGAATACAGAAAGGTGCCAAAGGTCTTGGATTCACGTTGATCGGAAACGACGGCAGCTCAGAGCATGAGGAGTTTCTTCAGGTGACCGACCTCTCCATATTCGGTTATTTGGTCGCTTGAATATCACCAAATTCCCACATTATCAGTTAATGTATTTTGTCATGATACATCAATATTAAATTTAGATCAAAAGTATCATTCCGGGTGGTGCTGCATATCGTGATGGCGTTTTGCATATGGGTGATGTGCTGGTATATGTGAATAACGAATGTGTACTTGGTGCAACTCAATCACATGCGTGCCGAATATTCCAAGCAATCGGTGTTGGTGAAACGGTCACGTTACAAGTTTGTCGTGGATATCCTCTTCTGCTTGATCCAGCAAACAAGGTGAAAGTTATAGCCAGCCATCGCTGCACATAAATGATAATTACAATTAATACGTAACGTGATTAATTATGGATATATTGTTTTCAGATTGTTACCGAGAATGCTTACGCGTCAAAAGCACAAGATGAAAAAGAAATTTTCATCAAGAAGGTACACACACTCAATGGTTTTTGATTTCTTTTCAATGCGTTCAATTCATCACAAGTAGTTCTTATCGCATTTCTGAGTCGAGTTTGTTTTTATTCATACGCTTTATGAATCATGAGCTCATGTGCATTGTTCATACTTGTTGACAATATTCAACCAATTACAACATGTTGATACTATCGGTTTTGTACTCATCATTTGGTAGTAGCCCTTTGCTGCAAGTGTGTACTTTGCAGCGCATGGGTATTCTTCATGAACAGGTTGAAGTATATTTGCGCGAAGGGCAAAGAGCAATGTTTGGCTACAAAACGATAACTTCAACAATTATGTTCAGGGCGGAATTAATTCTTTTTCACTGTTTTTGCAGGGAGATGATGGATTTGGTTTTACTATTTTTGAGAGCTTACAAGGGCAAAAAGTGAAAAAGGTTTTATATCCGGAAAGATGTGAAAACTTGCTCGAAGGCGACACGCTCCTTGAAATGCGAACAACCTATCCGAATGGTAGTCCAAATAAGCCGGTCGGCCACGAGGTGATTACTAACTTCCGTGGAATGGCTCACCATGAGCTTGTCTCAGTCCTTAGAGATTGCCCAGTTGGATTTTGGGCAAAACTTATTGTTCGGAGGCAGTCGCCGAGGCATCGGTAATCTTCTTTTTGTACATTTACGCAATTTGGTATTTTGCAGAAATAGATTTTTTTCATAATTTGATGTTGTATAATGTGAATATAATTATGATCAAAATTATTCTTGATTCATTATGGTTGTTGTATTGGGAGGGTTTAATAGTGCTGAACGGTTTGGTGGGGATGGGAGAACAAATGGGCTCGTGGGAGGGGACTACGATTAAGGGGTTGGTGTGCAATCGGAAAGGGCACTTACTGAATGAGGACCGAAAGTCCAAAAATGAATCATTCTCTTCGAGCAACAGCTCATTCGCATAGATTTTTTTAATAGGCAATAGTATAGCTAAGAACTTCCTGATGTCTCATACTGTCAAAATGGTCCTTTACAGTGGGATTTTTTGTGTAGCAAACTTTTGGGGTGTTTGTTTCTCCTTTTTGGAGTCTGCCTCATAAGAGGAATAAGGATTTGAAATCGCAAAGAGGGGGCCAGAGGAATTGAAAACAAAAGCGAAAAGCGATTCAAGGAATATTCAAAATGCATTCTCATGAAGTAGCTAAAGGTCGTTATGATGTAATGATGTTGTGGGTGTTCCATTGCTGTGAAATCACGTCATTCTTCATTTTAGAGCTTGTTTCTTCCAGAAAAAAAAGCCACGTTTTGTCATCATATATAGCGGTCCAAGTTAGGTACCAGTAGGATATGTGTGTTTCATTATATATATATATATGTTCAGCATCAACCGTCTATAGTTGAGTGCACAAAAGAATGGACATCAGTTTTTCAATCGTTCATCTACATAATGAAACTTTGCCTGAGCTGGAGTTTTACCCAGTATCTGCGTTGTTCTTTTCATGTTTCAACATTTGCGAGCACCAGTTTTTCTTGCCTTATAAGTTAGGATAATCTTTAACAGGTCAAGAACGCCAACGGCTGCATTTCGTTACGGTGAGCAACGCACCACTCCGATCCCGTCGGTGGCTCCGAGATCGAAAACTCCAGCACCACAACCTCCACGACCAATGAAATCAGCTTATTCAAGCGGTTCTACAATGCCCCCGGTTGCATATGGTGTGCCTTTTGAGAATGGTGTAAACGAAGGATACAACAACAATTCCCGCAATACAATCCCTAGGGTAATACATTTTATGTTGTGTTCATTAAAACCACTTCTCTCTATGCTTCACCTCTCAAGCAGCGTTGAATTGCACGAAAATCGAAGTAATCTGAAAAACTGATCAATAATTTACTCTGTCACGCGAGTTTTGTGTTCGGAAAGGGCACTCACTGAATGAGGATCGAGAGTCCAATAATGAATCATTATTGGATGTTTACCGTTGAACATTTCCGCTGTTATTGATATTGGCATGAATATTCCATTCGTTATAATAGCCCCTTACCAGCCGCACATTATTGAAAATTTCAAATCTGCAGTCTATCTAAATTGTCATTAGCATACGCTGAACGGAATATGAAAATGAATATGTAATGAATGTTCATTATGTATTCATTCGTTTATTCGCATTCACAATCACAGCAAAATAAGTTAGTTGAGTGTACGATATCCATCCTCTTTTAATAGCATATGTGATTTACCTCTCTGTTTGCTTCTCTACCTTAAATATAATAACGAAGTGTCCTGAAGCAATATGAATGCCCATTAACGTATGTGGATTATTGCGCGTTTACTGCTTAGTCCATTTGACGTTTTCTACTACTGTTCCTATTCAGTGCCAATAATAATAATATTAATAATAAATTTATTCTCTTAACCGATTTTTATAGTTGTTGTGTTAGTACTTTCTCTAGTGCTCTTGCAAGCATGCGTCTTCTGCTTTGCTTTAGGGTAATAACAATTCACTTTTGTTTTTGAGAAATTACCTTTTAATTTTGATTGTTACAATCACAATCGCTGATATTCCCCATCGCTTCGTAGTCGTTTTATGCACTCGCCATTATAGATGAATTCATCTCGAAATTATTTCCTGGTTGCATCATTATATTCCGTTGAAAGCGCATGCACACTGCCTCTACATCAAAGAAAGTTGTGCTCATATCCAGATTCTGAATTTATTCGAGATATCATTAGATTTTTCGTGATAGTTTCATTTCTAGCAATACGAACGACGTGCACGTGACGAAATCTATGAAAATTTCTCACGAGTACGGCCCTCGTCGACGAGTCTTGGATTCGCAACACCTAATTACATACCAATGACTGCACCATACAATGATGGCTCTGAAACAGTTACGGTCAATCTGATTCGAAAACCGAATGGCTTCGGCTTCAGAGTTGTCGGAGGAACTGAGGTCAGTGAAAATATGCAGTTGACTTCTTTTTTTGTCTTGATCGGTTCTGTTAATTTTATCTTTTTTTTGCTATTATTCCTTCTCAACTATTGCATCTCAACAGGAAAGTAATTTTCGAATGATCTGACCCATGTGTTTGATCATTAAATGATAACGGTCTCATCAACGAAACGTCCATTCTGAACAGTTGCTCACTCCAAAAATATTTACGTGTATGAGTAGCAGCATTTAGGTCAATTTCTTGCCTGGATTATGGATTTTCAAATCATTTTTTTGCATTCTTCGGCACGTATTTTTCCGAAAACCCATCTGAAAATTATACGCTTATGCAAACATATACAATTATAAATCGATACTGTGCAATAGTGGCTAATTAGTCAGGAACAAGGAATCGATATTTAGGAACCGTTTCTGTGCACGAAACAAATATGAGTTGCATTTCTCACTAAATGATCTCTTTTCTGCGTAACTTTCAAATGAAGGTTCTCAAAGTTCCGCGAAAAAAAAGTATGTGAAGCTCGATTTTGGAATGCTGTCTGATGCGTTATCAGTGTAGCTGAACCACGGTGTACGAAACAGAACTATAATGATACAATCAGATTAATCATGATCTTGTAACGCTTATGGCGTAATTGATGAAGTGCACTACATATACCGTACACACACCGTTTTAAATCGGCACCACTCCAAAGTTCGACTTCATATACTTTTCTCCCGGAATTTCGAAATGTTTCGTTTGGAAGTTATGTAAAAACGAGATCATCTTGTGAGGAAAGCAGATCTTATTCGTACTTTGCCTCCTCCCCCCTCCCCATCCGACGTGAAAAAAAAGTTTTAGAATTACGCTGTCTATTTCCTAATTGAGTAACCACAATTGCACATTATTGATTTGTGAATATGTATGCCTGTACCAGCGGAGAATTTTTCAGTTAGAATTTATGGAAAGTTGGTGTTCAACCGTGAAATTTATTTTCGTATTATACACTAGAAACTAACGTTGATCTTTTATTAAAAATTCTGTTTTTGTTGGACGATGTTGTCGTTGAGCAGCTTGAGTAACGAATCAGTATATAGGAGGGAACGTCTATAACGGTTGGTCAAATAGTGCCTGGTGGAGCTGCATCAGACGATGGTCGTTTGCAGCAAGGCGATGAAATAATCGAAATTGATGGCAAAAATATTGTTGGTGAAAGTCATGCAAAGGCCGTCCAACTCATGCAGCAATCTGCTGCAAATGGACATGTCAAATTGATTGTTCGTAGGCAGCGAGGTGTGTCAAAAGTTCAATCTGGATGATCGATTCGCATTATTTCTTAACACTTCATTTACTCTTAGAATTCGTCACATCTCACTGTTCACAACGATAACGACTCTCAAGCATATAACAACTGATGAAATAATTAACAAAGAAGAATGTAGATATTTGAACTTCATTCCAATGAGCCAATTGTCAATTATTGTCATAATAAGGTCCATCTAATGTTATGAATGAACAATCATTATAAACTATACACAAACGCAGTTACGCTGACACTTTTCAGTAACTTTCTTGTGATGATTGAAATNNNAAAAAAAGAAGCCAATTTTAAATTTCTCCATTTTTGTTTACTAATGAATTATTCCGTTAGTTGTATAACCGTGCAACTCGTTATCCATTGTACTTCGTGATTTTTCTTCTTGATGAATTGTTATTTTCGGTGTACTAGATAATTTTTAGATGTTTCACGTTCAACGTCAATGCCGTTGAACCAGCTTAATGTCGTATTGAACACTTACGATGTTGTTCTAACGAGAAGTGATCAGGACGGTTTTGGATTCGTCATTATTTCGTCGACTAACAAAAATGGTAGTACAATCGGTTCGTTTGTTAGTTCTTACTTGACAGTGTTCATTCGGTTCGGAATTGTTTCGAATTATTCTCAAATTTGTCGTAGATATCACTTGAGACCTAGATTCCAATAATTGACGCTAATTTTGCTGAAGATCGAATCAGAGGTCACTTCCGAATGAAATATCCATTTCATTGTTATTTTTCGTTGCTTGTTCCACAATTGTATCAGAACTACTCTTTTATTCGTCCTGTATATATAAACTATCTTGGTTCATTTTGGAATACACATTGCTTAGAATTTTGGAAATAATACGCTTTCGAAATTTAACTAAAGATATAATCTGTTGTTTCTAGCCGGAGAGTTATCTGTGTATATATTTATGCCAACTACCTGCTCGTAAAACTTTCTCGTTAATTAATACCCAGTTACATTGATTCTTTTGTTTATATTCATTGTGTAAAAATTGCAACAAATCGAAATACTCATATGCATTCGAGAAATATTTATCCTGTGGTCATTATTGCCTCAATTTTGTTGTTCAGGAAGAATAATGGAGGGATCACCAGCGGCTCGGTGTGGTCAACTGCGAGTTGGTGATCGCGTGATTGCGGTTAATGGTATCGATATCATGACCTTACCCCATAATCAGATTGTCAATCTTATCAAAGATTCTGGTCTTTCTGTTCGACTAACCATAGCGCCTCCATCTCCCGCTAGTCCTCCACAAAGCGGTTTCTTTTTTGATTATTCGTAGAATTCCTTTCACTGTTCAATTTTAGCGTGTTGTTTAATGAAGTTTAAATATTCATGAAAAGTCACGCTTTCATGAGGATTGATCCGATCTTCCTTTGCTTGTTTCTTAGAAGAATTCTGTTATTAAATCTACTCTACTAATTTCAGAAATCAGCATTTTTTTTTCCACTTTAGATTAAGTGAATCCGGTCTGTGCGTTTACTTAATAATGAAATTGCTTCAGGGATGCAGTACTCTTCCTCACAAACTGGTCTTCCGTACACATCTACATCAAATTATCCATCATATCAGAGTAATGGAGCTCAGTTATCTGGTGCTTATAGTAGTGTTTACGACACTTCTTCGCATTATAGGTATCTTGGTCAAAATGGTTATTCGGTGAACACGATCTCTCCAATTCCTGCAGATGCTGTCAGTGTTTATCTAATTATGAACAAATTTTCGATTAATCTTTGAATTTGTACTCTTGGTGATTCATTTCGCGAAGTTGCTTCAGATGCAGCCGTCAAATAATGCATTCAAATTTTGCACAGCCCAGTTCATTATCTCTTTTCATTTTAATGGGTTAAACGATTCGTTGCCATGAACGTTCTTTTTTTTATTTTCCAATTCTTTTCTAAATTTTTACATTGGACTCACAACATTCATTGAGTCGGTTCAGGAGTCGTCATTAATCTCAGTGGAGTTGAATCGTGGACCAAAAGGTTTCGGCTTTTCGATTCGAGGTGGTCAAGAATTTGATGCAATGCCGTTATTCGTTCTACGAATCGCCGAAGATGGACCGGCCGCAATGGATGGTAGTTTAAGAGTTGGTGATCAGTTGATGCAAATAAATGGTCAATCAACGAAAGGCATGACTCATGCGAATGCTATCCAAATTATCAAACAGTACCCAACTGTGAAATTGCTCATAAGAAGGCCTCAGGGATATTGATTTGATTCAGTTAGGTATCAATCTACTACGCGTCTTTAATCACTCAACCTCTCGCTTGCCATTTTTGTTCACGAAAGATCTATTTCACTACCATATATGCATGTTCTACAAGCTTCGGGTTGCTTTATGGAAAACTGTTAGTGCAGTGTTCACGAAACGAATTTTCAATGTGGAGTACAGTCTTTTCCCATTCATTCCACTCAATAACAATACGTCATTCGAAATGTGGCAGAAGCGTATGTTTCTGTGAATATTTTGAAGCGTTCCCAGTGACCGCACTCTCCTACAATGAGTTTAACGGATTTCGAAATTTCCATTTGCGTCATATGGACAACATTTAAAATGTTGTTGTGCAATATTAAAGCATTCCGCTCAACTTTCCTCATCACACTGTTGTTATCTTCATTTCTACCTATTCAAAGTTTTGTTCATGCACGGTTTTAATCTACCAACTGTGCAAAATTCACCTGACGAACTTGGCTGTTGAATGATACACTCTCTTGTTGCAATGAATCTTGCTTTAATGAACTCACTCCATTCAACAAATATGCATTTTCCAACATTGCTCCTGTGGTATGCATTTCGATCATTTTATCACTATATAATACAATAAGAAATTATCGGCATCTACAGTCTAATGAATTTGATGTTCGTCTCTTCGTTCATTTTTGAGCTTTTCGATTTCTGAAGCCTCTCTCCAGTGAATGCATATAATTGAATGTACCTGTATAAATTAACATGGATAATAAATATACACCACTCATTGTATATATCCTACCCCCTTAGGGCATTTGTGCTTGGTAAAAAAAACGAATCGGTCTGTTATTTGTTCTGTATGGCAGAAAAGAAAAGAATGAATCGTTCTCTCGTTCGTTCTCATTTGGTTTTTTTGCTTCTTTTGTTGTCGTGTATATTTCATCAAATTAAATATCAATGGAATAAATCAATCGAATCTTAACTACAATGTCACATTGGAATAAGAATCAAAATCGTTTCAATACCATCAAATCCAGAAATTTAATCATCGTGCACTGATGTGTCGTGTTTTTAATTTATCGCCAAATAAAACAGCAGTATCAACAAAGGAATAGTGGTGATTCAATAAGATCTAATACGAATGCGTTTGACCGTTATGAATGTCACCGCAATTGAACAAAGGATATAATCGAATCAAGTGCGTTTCCATTATATACCAAATTTAGCTGCGATAACAGTCAAACAAATAAAAAAAGATCTGTTGACGTTAAAAAGTCGGTTGGGTGTTGCAAGGTCAGTCACCAGTGAGTGAACCATTTCGCGAACAGGTTGTATTTCAATAAGAAATATCAACTAGAGGAAAGACTCACTTCCTACTAACTATGAACACTGATTTGATGAGTGTGATAGCTTAAAAGCTGAACGAATGAATGTTAATGAATCTAGTCGGAAGCAAAGCTCAAGGTATGAGCACATAAGTAGCTGACGCAATTTAATCTCGAAGCCAGAGGTTTCCATAGAATTGACGAGCACGAAACAATCTCAAGAAACGACTGTCAGCAAACACCAGTAAACATTTTTCTCAGTCGCCGAAATTGTTTTACTTTTGTATACGTGCTGCCCCATATTCATTCATTTGTATATATGCATAAACAGTGATATAATAACGTGATTATTCAATGGTCAATTGTGATTGTTTGAACATTGGGTAATAGATTGGTTGTGCATGCTGAGTTGAATGGACTGATTGTTTACGGTAGCATAATGCTCAATGTTGATTCGTATTCAGCTGTTTTTCGGCAGAACCGCCGTCGGCAGTGCGAGTTGGATTGGTTGAAAACTCTCGATTTGTTCACTTTCGATTTCGTTTCCCATTTAAAACTCGCTTTCCCTGTCAACATCATCTCAATGTGCACAATATTCATCGAACTGCACTCACGCATCATCTCAGCAGCACTATTTGGTATTTGACTGGGTTTCGTTTTGTCGTTACGTTCAGCCGACATTCAAAATCGCCAGGTTTCCATCATATACACGATCTGCATTACCACGCAATTGGTGGTAGCATCACATAAGGATTCATCAGTCAGATATTTGTTCTCGTCGATTATCCTCTTTCCGGGGGATTATCATTTGTTCTCGACGATATTTATTCTTATCAGTATTAGATCCATAGTATACTTTGAAAAGCTTCATTGCTTGGATCAGCCTTCCAGCTTGGATCAGTTTCGCAGCAAAAGTTTAAGAGCAGTTACTGTTGCAGTTGATAATTTTATTTCACCTTCTATTGCAACACATGCTCCTTTTTAAAAGTGAGTAACGCATGAAAGCAGCGAAGAAACCGTTCTAGAAATCTTTGACACAGCAACCTTCCATCAATATAGGTATTGAGGATCTAACTTATCCGTTGTTTGTCGTTGCTTTGGAACCACAGACAATTTGAAATGATCGACGTTGTTCATTGTTCGAAAACATGTTTGCCGTGAGTCATCAATACTTTAAAACTTTTGCTATCGTGTTCACGAGTCTTCAAATATTCAAACTATTATTTCATATCCGTTACGGATGGTTCAGTTCGCTGTCGCGAGATAGATGAAAATACAGTCACTAATTTGGATAGGTCGCAGAAACTCATGAAATTCTTCAGATGGAGATTATTATTTGATTCTCTTGCAGTCGAACATTCCTTATCTAATTATGCTAATTTGTGCATTTATTTTGTTCTGATCCATTCATGCTGCTTGTTTAAATACGATTAAGTGTACAACAATGCATTCGATTGATCGCAAAATATGATATCCATTCGAACATGTTTTCAACAAAAACATTGAGATGACGATGAATGAGGAAAAACAGGAGAACGATGGATGAGGTTCGCTGAGCCATAATGGAGTATGTACGATTTGCATTTCGTTCAAGGCGGTCCCTTAGATGCGATCTGTGATGTTTTTGTTCGTACACTGTTCTTCGCAATAGACAGCTATTTTCAATTGCTCATTTCGGTCGAATTTATTCCATTTCGATCACATCCCCTCATTGTTCTATATTCGAACCACGACTTCTAGAATTGTTCTTTCAACTTTTCTGAATTTTATATTCATAAGTATCATATTATTGACGACTCATTCAATTAATTATTTCGACAATTCTATCAAAATAGATCACACGAAACTGATAAGCAATTGCAAATTAGGCATCTGTTGTTGAAAATCACTCGGAATGAACAATTTCCGCAGTTTCAAGATCTGATATCACGTCAAATAATTACAAGAGAAGACCAAAATCTGTCAAAACGTGACGTTACTGAGCTCACATGATTTCAGAGAAAATGTGTTTTTCCTGATTGATGTTAAAATCGCCGTTTGGACATTAGAACAGCTTATAAAAAAGATGTACATTATATTATGCGCTGTGTTATACAAAAGTTCCCTCATATGTTATTTTCTGCCGGCTAAAATATCAAGTTTAATTTTCATGACAATAAAACGGTACTGATCCCTAGCAATATCTGAGCATTCTGTAATCGTCGAATATTGCAATAGATCAACTGGTTCACCAAGCTTAGCTTTATATATTGTTATGTTCGCTGAAGAAGTGTATTCTTGTTTTTTGGCGCACAAAAGATGGAGAAAGCCTAAGAGTTTGAAGCCATTCACATAGACGAATTTAAAGTTTTTGCATTAGTTAAAAATAGTTCAATCAAAACAACGTTACTAACAGTTCGATGTCGACAAAAGTTATTGAATTTTTTCATGGGATTCCTTTTGACTTTGCTGTTTTTTTTAATAATTGCTGCTCCAAGTGCCAAATTTCTGAATCATATATATCAACTTGTTCGTCTTTCTGATGTCCCCTTTGCTTCCGGGATGAGACATTAGGACGATGCGAATATCATTACGGCGTTGTACACTTGGGCGGTAATGTTGCATCCTCGTAGAAGAGCATGAGCTGTTAATTATTTAATTTTGTTCTAGAACTAATGTCAGAAATTGATTTGCCCTTTAATCTTTGCTCATATTTCTCTTCATAAGCACCCACCTAGGGCATTATAATTAAAGTAGAATGAGCCATTTACAAGTTTAATTATTCAACTCATATGTGCAATTTTTTTATTGTTATGTGCCTTACTGATACATTTTTCAGTGGTTTCATCAAAACTTGCAATTCATTTTCTTTCGATTAAATGAAAATTTTAGAGATAAACTGACTTTTTTAAACTTCATTTCCGAATGATTGAGAAACTGTTCAGTCGACGAGACAGTCTGACAAAGCAAATTAAAACCGAAAATATTTTCAAAATTACCCGATGAAATGATTATCTGCAATTCTATTCAAATTCCATTTCTTAATCGGCTGGAAAGAAAATGCGTTGGAAGTGCAAATGAGAAAATAATTTTTCGTTGAAGCGAGAATCAATCGGAGAGTATTTCACTGAAAACAAATAAACCTTTTGAAGTTTTATTTCGATTTCATTTCATTGCTTATCCAATCAGTTATATAATATGTGTAAGTATATGGCATCAGAATTTTGATTCATTTTGCACAAATGTTCACCTCAATATAATGATATCGCAAGTGAACGCATAAAATCGAAAGGCTCACCGGAAAGACTAATTATTTTTGTATGCTTGCAGACGTTTCGAGGGTTTCTACGAAGATCAGTTGGTTGAGATGATTTCGAATCATCTTATTATTATAGTGGCAACATTAACAGTTCAGTGAATATCCTTATCATTTTTATATCATTTCCCTTTTTTTACGAGCAGTCTGACGGGTATTGTGCAAATAGACTTGTCACTGCATTATTCCAGACTGAACGATTCTTCAAAATATTCCTGAGATATCAGCATGTGTTTTATGGGAACCCAGCCTGCCTTTTTGTAGTTATTTTTCATGATCACCAATTCAGACGCATGAAAAAGCATGTGTGTAATTTAGTATTGTATGGCGTTTACAATGCACACATATGGAAGAATTAAACGGGCTAACAGAGCGAATAGTTTAATGAGAATGTTTCTGTTTAATGAATTAAGTTTGTTTTTATAAATAATGAACAAACCAACAGCTGGAAAACGCGAATTGATTAACATGTTTAAGATGAAAATGTGTGTAAATTGATGAAACAAAATAGATTAAATGGAACGGATCAGATCCAATGACCTAAATGCCTTTTGAACATACACGTCCGCTGTGTTTTGCTGTGTTCCACCCAGAAGGAAACGCCGAATTGTGAACGTTGCGTTCACATTCAATCTGTTTGTTTGTGTGTGCGCACATTCGATTTCAAGGGCAGATAAAAGAAATGATACAATGACTGTCGACCTTTATTCTAATCTCTTTCCATAGATCTCGGTCATTTCAAATAACGATTTCTAATTGACATGAACTTTATTAAATCAATTATTTCAACAATAATCAAAAAATTTTCCCTCAAATGCTTTGCATTGCACACTACTGATATCGATAATTGCAATGCAGTACGGCGATTATTTGCAAACTCATCGATGAGGACAATACCCAAAGAGATCCTGTCGTCGCATAAAATATCATATATTGATATCCTCTGTTAAGGGAATCGTTCGTAATTCAAATCGTAAGGCATTCTCATTGTAGATTGTGGCATCGGCTCTGGTTGACAACGGTATCCTTGGAGATCCTTATGTCGATTGCGGAGACAATTACATTGAGGTTCAACTATCATTTCAAGCTTAGCATAAATTCTTCACACAACAAACTTTGAATTTTTTTCAAAAATATTTCTGCTTTATGAGAACGTAATTCAATACTGCGAGACTTGATTGCTTGGCGCATACAACACAATGAAGCATCATTTATTCAGACTGAATTCATATATCTAGCCAAGGTTGGATACGGGCACTGTTGCTGTCAGTATTCACCCGAGTTAATCGAACAAAGACTACCCACAACGCGGTGTACTGCTACTGCAAATCGTTTTCATGAAAGCAATGTTCCGTCGCTCCCTCCCCCCTTTTTCTCAGTACCACAAACTGAAGACTTGGTGGAGATACTTTCCGATTCCGTAAAAATAATATCAACTAGACTAAGTAATAATGTCAACCAAAATCTGATTATTCTTAACTTCTGCTAATCAACCTTGAACAACTGCATGGAAAAAGTATTACGAATAGTAGATAGTAGATAAAGAAGATAAAGTAACGTTTAAACTAAACACAATTTTAAGGTACGCTTCGATACACGGAACACATTCAAAGGTCTTGTTTTTGTTGAAGATCACTTAACTGAACCAGAATGTCGTTCAACACCGGTAGAAGATGTCAGTGGAAGAGGAAGAAATGCCTCCTTAAAGCTTGCTTTCAAAGGATGTGGTGTTGAAAGGAGGAGATCTGTAAGCAGTTTCAGCCAAAGTTTCCATTTTGAACGAGTGCAAGTAATTCTGCGCCACAAATAATCACATAATCTGATAGTCAGTTATTTGTGCACTCAGATCATATTAATGAGATAAAGTTCTTTTCAAAAGTATCAGCACAGACCACAAATTTTGATAAGCATCTATCGTCCACATAGACAGTCTGGCATTTCAAAATGCTTTCTTTTTTCGGGGTGGGAGCAAGGGCTACAAAATGGTTTGGTCCAAAAAATTACGTGAACATTAACTTTTTTTTCTTCGTTCTACTTCCTTTTCTTTTTTCCTCTTATTTTTCTCTTTCTTCCATCTTCCAACGGAGGGAGACGGGGGGCTGGCGTACGCTCCGTGTGCCCTCTCCCTCACCCTTTCTTGGGTACACCACTCCTGTTTTATACGTTCAATTTGCTACTATAAGTTTTTACGTGTATGCGATCTAATCTTGTCGAAAAGACTGAAAATGCCAATATGTACTTAATTGCATTTAGCGGACTATATCTCAGTAGTTAAAAAAGTTTTTTTGCCTTCGTATGCTGACTACTTTCTGTTCGTTAAAAAATACATCTGCTGGACAGTAAATTACTTGGTGTTAAATTCATAAGCAAGTTTGTTCATGCGGAACAACGTCGTTATTCAACGCGTATTTATGACAGAAGCTGAACAAAATGACGAGCTAAAATTTGGCTGTCGGCTACTTCTTATTACACTCAGGTCCCAGTTAAGCATTTCAGAACTTATGATAGCATTAAGATAGTAGAAATTGTTTTAATAGGTTTGGTCGGATTGATGAAGCTTTGATATGTTTAATACGAAATATTATTTCAAATCAGGACGACCCTCGGGGAATCTTCATTGTTGTCTCGTTGATTGTTGCGTTTCATCCTGAATTTCTCACCAAAATCGATCGTGTTTACGTCGTTCAATGCTTTTATATGGAAATGGAGAAAATTTTGGAAAAGGAAATTCAAGTGAAGTGAGTATATTTGTGCGTTTATTTCATTGATTTCTTCAATTCAAATTGTTTTCGTTCTTAGGCGTACACGAATTATCCACATTCTCCATCATTTTTTGTTGTATTTGAATCTATAGCAGTTATGAGCTGTCCTTTCCTGCTTCAGGACAACAATTTACTAAATAGTTGATCTTTTTCCCTACTGAATTAATTCAAACCTAGAAATGAGCACTATCGATCAGTAGATATTGTTCTAGCACACTGGTTAATCTGCTTGAATTCGCTCTTCAATTGGTAATAGGTGGAAAATTTTTGAGACGAAAAAGATATCCCTCTGTGACAATCTATTCTCTTCGTTGTCAGTTCCTCACTGATACGGTCGCTTTTATCATAGATTAACAGTCAAATTTGTTTGAATGAACACAATCAACTGTCCAGTACACTTTGTGAGCGTAAATTTGATCCACTGACCTCATCGAAAATTTCAGAATGAGTCCTCCATTGTTGCGAACCGAGCAAGTACCAATGCCGGTTTGTCGGTATGAGGTTCTAGACGGTTCACCAACTGGTCCACCAATCTTCTATGCAGCTATAGGTCAAATGGTAAGTGGAATGTTAACGAAATAATTTTTGTAGCACTCAAATGAATTCATATTCAGGTTTATCACAAATGGTCATGCGAGACTTCAACCGAGAATCAGTTCTGCATGACCGTTCATAGTTGTTATGTGGATGATGGAAATGGTGATCGTGTGCAACTGATTGATGAAAATGGGTTTGTTCTCAAAATCCATATGACATCTTACAAAAATTGAAATAATGTCTGTCTTGGGAGTGACACTTCATTATTGCATATTCGAACTGCGAGCTTTATTTCGATTTGAGAAAAACTGAAAGTTAATGGAGTGGTGTTTGAAGAGAATATTCTTTAAGATGTGCGAGGGATAAGCACTTATTGCAAAATTTGGAGTATGTATCAGATTTGATGGTGGGTAAAGAAGCACATGTTTATAAGTATGCCGATCGACAGAGCATGTTCTTCGACTGCCAAATTACGCTGACTATTAAAGAACCTGATCAAGAGTTTTGTGAGGTTAGTTATTGAATTTTTATGCAGCAGATTATCTGATTATTCTACATTTCAACTGATCATGAGCACAAAATTTATTCCTCACGCAATTTGATTGCTAGTATACCTATTTGGATATATGTTGGACGAGCAGAAACAACGACATCTTCGGAACAGCTGCCCCCGTGTAACTAATCCTAGACAAATGCTCCCGGGAACACCAGCTCCTCGGATAACTGTTTCCGACCATTTGCCTCGTGATCAGAATAAATGCTATACACAACCCTCTCCTTATCAGAGGTTCCGCCGCAGCCAGAGACAAACCTTAGCCTCAACCTAAGCACATACCTTAGTCTGAGACTAACAATAAGCATCAACCTCAGCCTAACCTTAACCCTGAGCCAAACTGACACTAACAATTTATTGTAGAAATAAACACTTGGTGATTTTCCTTTACAGGTTCCAACGTGTGCAGATCCAGCACGAAGAAGGCGGTCCGAGACAACGCTCGATGAGCATTCAAATTCAGAACGACAGAATGGATATAGCAGCGATGAGCTGAAGAACCTGAATCAACTTAACAACAATAGTTTGTGTTATCACTTCCTGCTCCGTTATATTATCGTACTCTGCAATGATTTTGTTCGAAAACTCAAGTTCTACACTGACTTGCTCGTTTCCAATATATCGGAGCAGGAGTTCATTACATTTTTCTAACAATAAAGAGCTGATGCTGAGGAGAAAAAAAGGCTGCAGCCCGAATTCTCAGGGAAAAAGAACACTTTTGTTTGTGGAAGCTGCTCAAATTAATCACTTTGCTGCTCGACGGCACCTGTACGTATAAATTAAGATTGTGATTGGCATCAGTTTCCCTATGTGATTGAATCTTTAAAAAAATCGAATCGACAAAGACATAAAATTTTGCAGGCAGTTTTGAGCTGGAGAAATCGTTCGTTATAACGAAGGAGCAAATAGAACGGATAAGTTGGTTGAGGAATAATTTTGATCTTTACTTGGTAAGTTGAATTCTCATGAAATCAGACAAATTTATGCGAATCTAAGACTGAAGTTATTCCTTCTCACCAATAACAAAATAATTGCATTTGCAATGTATGTTTTAGCGAGCGTGAAATTTCTGACATGGTCATCGCTATCAAAGAGGAAGGAATTAATCATCATTTAGACCTTCAAAATTTAGAGGTGAAAGCGAGGAAGCAAACGTTTTATGACTGTATTCAGCTTTGTAGCATTGGCCAAACCAAAATTGTTTATGAAATCATTCACAGTGCCATAGTTCAAAGACAAAGATAATCTCTGGTGGGAATTGCTCTGAAATAAATTTGCAGGACGATATTTGCATGTCATCGTTAGGAATGGGTACTGTTGCAATGATCAATTTGATGATGATCTCAACTTCAGCAATTTTCTTCTACGGAGCATACAAACATGCTTTAGATAAAATGCAGTTATGAACTGCTTTTAAGCCTGCAAACATGCTGAATGCTCTTTGTTCGCTATAATAATATTCACTATCGCCTCGCGTCTTCTACTGATAATTATTTCGTGCAATCGTAATAAAGATCGTTCGTATTAATGAGACTCAACCGCCTGAATGATCATTGCAGAAGTATCTGCTCGAAGGTATCATATAAGCGATTCGTGATCGGTTGTCTCCTATGAAATGCTTGATTAATTTATTGAACTCATTATTTTTGGTTCATTTTCAAGTTGTAATTTGCATTTCGTTGTTATTTTGTTATATGCGATTTATTCTTGCGTTTAATTTTCTCGCGGTTCGTGTGGATGTATTATTTTTCGCTATAGAATCTGTTGTAGACGCATCTTTCTAAAAGAATTTTTCAGTTCGCTACGTTCATAGGAAAAACTGCACATATTCATCGCATAAATAAATATAAACGGATACAATGCACTAAAAATTTAACGATGTATATTCAGAAACATTCATTCATCACCTTGAGAGCTTGTGAAGCTACATGAACATAAACGGATGATGCTTCACGTGACGACATAAGATGGGATTGAGAATATTTTGTTCATTCAGTGCAATGTCTTTTTTAAATTCAAATTCTTATTCATCTATCATTGCACAGTAACACTTCTTCTGCACGCAAAAGTTGTTCTGCGTTGCTCGATAATTTTTAGACAATGGCATACGATCATCAACGAGAAGGATATGAAATGGATTGCTTGAACTAATTAGTTGTTTTCAGTAATTCTTTTCCACAGTCATCTCACGGCGTTTATACAACTAACAATTTAACTCTCCCCATAAACTGACTGCATTCTAAAAACAAAATTTTGAATGTAGTGACACAAACACATATATAGACACTACGCAAATCTTCTCTGAACTCTGCGGCAATCTTCCGAACAATAATAATACTAACAATTATTATTATTAGTATCATTAAATAATAATAAAATAATGATAATTGTTATTGTCATCATCATTATTATTCATCTGTTCAAATTCAACTCATTACTTCACATCGATTGGAGTGGAGTGTTTTTGTTTCAATGTTAAGCACACAAGCGAGTCACATCGTTAGAGCGATTATTCTAAATGACTATGAGGTTTTGCTCAAGTGGTCGTCCAAATTGGTTAAACTCGTATTAGTGAGTTGCAAACAGTGGATTAGTGGACTAAAATTCACTTCAGAATGCTCTGAGACTTGCTCTCCTATTATAAATTATGTCATGAACAGATTTATTTGATCATCTTTTGTTTGTGAAGACTTCGTCGATAAGGAGAAGATGTAATTAGCACTATATTGGTATGAAGATTGGTATGATTTATGTTGCTGCCTATCTTTAGTGAGAATATGTGTGACATGATGGATCTAATTTTGAGTGCAGCAATTTAATTCAGTGGTGAGGGTAACTGGTTCACTCACTCCTCATTCATGCATTGTCGCAGTAGGTCACCTAGTCATATTGTTCCATCATTCAATTTGTTGATCGCATGCGATTTTCTACTGGGCGTTTACCCTATTTCTGACAGGCTCTAAGTATTGAAACTGAAGTAATCAGTACGATTAATTCACTGATCAAAAAACAACAAAGTTCGCTATTTTCTCATTTTTAACGCTCAAGGAAGATTGATAACAACCTTGATTCTCTTCTTCATCGTAGCTGCTGCAAATTATTTTATGGCTAAATACAACTTCTAGGAGACGAATAAGTGTTCATTTGTTCATTACTCGATACTTCATTGTACACTGTTTAGTAAGTTCGGCCTCCCGCTGTCCACAATGATGCAGCCAAGTATTCTGCTCATTTTGATCAATATCGTTGCGAACGGTGAGTGATGTTTACTTGAACTGGTGCTTAACTCTCGAACGACGAACGGGACTAAGAGGCTCGGCGCTAACTTTCAAATTCCGTAACTTGATGAATTGCTGCAGTCCGCAGTTATTGAGATGTGGTGATTTTGGATATTTCCATAACCTCAACTAGAAAAGGAGTTAAAATGTTTTCTGGATTATGCGTTCAAAGTCGTACGCATAATCTGGATTAATCGTCGTAGACGAAAGGGCCTCTCAGGCCTGGCTACAACTATACCATTATTAACGCGTTTTAAAGTGTTTAGAATGATAATAATTCATAGACTTTACTAATTCTGACTTGTTTTAATGTTTCAAAATATATATCAAAACAATGAACTGTATCAAGAAGTGCAAACTAGGCGACTGTTGTAGTATGAATTGTAGCACATAATTTTATTGTTACTATTTTCATGGAACTGCAAAGTGAGCTCAAAACCAGAAAACGACAATGGACATCAACAAGAAAAAATAACATGCATAATAAATAGTAAACAGTACGGTTTTCGATGAAAATTTCACGTTTCGAGTTACTCATGTCGTGCGAACTGTTAATGACGATTTTGGTTTCTCAACTCATTCATGACTGGACTATAGAAATGAAACAAAGCAAAGCAGCACAAAAAAACAGCTAAAATAGCATCTTCATTATAACTACAAGATCTATAACAAATTTATCAACGAGAATTTTAAACAACACATCATTTGGATATGAGAATTATGCTATGCAAATGGTGATGCCATGTTCACTATAGACATTCTTCAGGCAGTAAAAAACTTTGCATTTTTGATTTCCGAGTATTAATGGACAGACATATGGAACATGTTCCCCGTTTTCTGTCCTCAGATGAAGTCACCAATGAAGTCTTACTCAGTTAATTCTTTCACATTCATTTACTTCAAACTGATAAAATTTACAATGGAAACGAATCAATACATGGAAGTAATAGTTCGAAGGCGATCTTTCGAGAATAATTCGTTGAAAATGAAGAGACCTTCTCATGCAGTCCACAGCTATTAGAGCAATTCTTTTTCCAACCTATAAATACCAATGAAAATGTGCACGAGTTAGTAACATTCGCACAAGGCACATCTTGAAATATATTTTTAGCTAGCTTAGAATCAGTATAAGCATCCAGATTGAACAGAATTTGATCCAATTTCAATGTCATCGTCTGAAGAAACACAGCCACTACTCTCACCGGTGTTACCTCCATTGCTGTTTTCGAACAATCATTCATTATTTTCATCACTTGATGGCATTTTAGCAGGTTTAACTGCGCAACAAACACAAAGCAACGATCACACTTAAACAACCATGAATTTATGTAGATTTCACGGGTACTTGATTGCGAAACTTATCCCTAGCTAGTTCGTCGTTTTGCCACTTTGCGGTGCATGGAAGCATGATGACTGAATGATGTTTATTTTCATTCTCAACTGCACGATGTCATTCACAAACACCAGCATTTGTTAAAATTGTGTTAAAAATCTCGTGTTATGAGCACTTAATGAAATGGATAGAGGCGGGCCTGAGAGGCTCGACTCTGCCCGGATGCTATTAAATCATTTCTGTTGTGCGAGGATTAATTCGAGTGTGATTCCGTAATTACAGCAGTTGATTTCCAGGATGGTCTCAAATTGTCACTTCATCAGATCTCAACTGTAACTTTAATGACTTATGTCGATGGCGTAATTTAACCGGTAGCACTGAAGAGGATGGTCGTTTTATGCTTACTGATAATGTGCATATCGACAAATATCATCACATTCGGCCTATTCAAAATGCAACCGGTAAGCTTCTGCACGATAATTGAAAAGCACAATCTTGGAAAACTGCAATATTCATTGGATGTATGTCTATAAGAATGCTTGATGAATTCCAGTAAGACGATCAATTTTAACGAGAATTTTTGTTCACACTCTGCTTGTCAGTGAATGAGATGCAATTAGTAAAGTTTCTGATGGATTGTTTCAGGTAATCGTTTCGCTTACACACAAGGATCGTTTGATGGATATCATAGAGCGGCGCTTGTCAGTGATATTATAAGGTTGAGCAATTCACTTTGCTCTGAATGTTCCGCGCGAGTCCGCATAAGCCAGCTCTCCCTGACTTTCGGATTCGGAGAGCATTTGAATGGCACATCTTGTTCTCCAACCTTTTTCCAGTTTACACACCCCTTGCAATTCAATTTCTCTAACGCAATATGCGAACAAAAAATGCATTTCGGCATATGTTGATGAGAAAATGTGGTTAATATAAGATGACTGTAGTTTTGCAGCTGTCAAATTGGTGGTGGAAGCTTGCAGTTATGGTATTACCGAACTGGTATAATGACAACCCTTGATGCTTGCATCAGACAGCCACCAGGCTCCTCAGATCCCACAGCACTCAAATGTTTTCCAGCTTTCGCAAATAGTCATGGACAACAGTGGACATTTAGTGCCATCGAGTTCCCTCCAGTAACACAGCCATTTGAGGTTACTTGTAAAATCATCATCTTTTTACTGTTAAAATGTTGGTTACGATCCTCAAACTATCGCTATCATCTGCGCTCACAATGAAGAGAATTCGTGTGATTTTCTATTTACAAGTTACGAACAGACGTATTAACAGTTAGCACTGGTATTTGCAGATGGCACTGATTATTCAGCGAGAAAATTTACTAAACACAAAAATTTTTCATGTGATTATTAAGTTTATTGATCGAAACTGTTTTTTGGACTAGTTTTGCTTCATTTAAATCCGGTGTTATTTTCCAGATTCTCCTTCGTGCATCATTTGTACAGCCAATTCATATAATCGCTGTTGATGGAATTACTTTCAATGCAAGTTTATGTGGTGAGTAGCTAATGACATTTCATCACGAACCAACTTTGTTTCCTCTAAATAAATACTTGATTATGATTCTTATGACATGATTTATCACTTCACGTTTTTATTATGCATCAATTCATGCTTTGTTTCGCATGTGCAAACTTTTGCATATGAGGATGGCACCTCGTATTTGGTGTGCTGCATTCACACGCAACTACCGTATTAGGTTAGATCAACTCTCATGTGCCTCAGTCAAAGGTACAGGGACCGGCTCTGTATGTAAGTCCCAGCGTGTCACAACTAGAAGTAAGGGAACCAAACTTCTTTTTTGGGGAGTCAGTCGTCTAGATGGCAGTTGCCTTTACATTTGCTCATCTACTTAACTGTTTCTGTGCCTTAAAAAAACTTTCCGACGGAATATTTACTGAGTCAAGACACCATGAAAAGTCAAAGAATGGTCGATGTAAGCTGCATGTGAAGACGAAAAAAAAATTCTTCTAAAAATTCAGTAAACACCCAATCAAAATCCTTATGCTGAGCGAGTACCTCCAATGGATTAGCTGAATGGAACAATTGTGAAGGTGCAGTTTGTCAAGCGGAATTATCAGCCAAGCTTGCAGGGTTTTACGATGAAGAATATTTCTCAAAAAAGCCACATGCAAATCGTCAAAGAGATTGGAAATCAAGCATGATCGGTAACGAATTTATCGGTCATTTGAGTACACAAAAGCAAGAACGATTGAAACGAAACGCGGCCGAAAGTAGCATAACATCCCCAAGTCCGAACGATTATGAGGATTTGGCCCGACTTTTGAAAAACTGGTATGGAATAGATAACACAAGAGATCCAGTTGCCAAAACTTCGCTAGCTGCTGAAGAAAATCGACAAAATAAATTTGTTGTCAGTGATCAAAATACAGTGCCTTCCAATGATGGAGTCGTAAAAGAGGAATCGCCGTATTCTGTTCTGTTATCAGCCTTACGACAATTATCTCCAACGACAATGGTGCCATCTCAATTACACACCATTCTACCATCTCCAATTATACCCTATATGGTTGTTGATCCACTTTCGAGCTCTATCGCTCCCCAGACGCAACCAACGACACCAACCATTGGTAGTGCTTTGCATCCGAACATTTTGAGAGACCCACAAAAAGTCGACGATGAACATCTAAGCAAGATCACCGAAGCATTTGATCATTACCTACCGAACGTAACGCAAATCATTCAACAATTTGCTCCAGTGTTATCTCGTTTTATTAGTGCGATGCGATCAAAAACAATGGATATTACCCGGCAGTCTGATACAGCAACATCCATCGACGACCTCTCACAGCAATCTTTTCTTTCGAATGCACCCAACTCTCAACGTTTGCGAATACATTCCACTAAAACTTTCCAAAAATCACCAATATTTATCTCCTCCAGCTCAGATCGATCTGATACAGCCGTTGATATAACATCGCAAGATTCAGATTCTGAGGAAGCTGTCATGCCTAGCAATGAAGCGCTGCAAGTGGATTCCTCCAATCAGAATAAGCGCCACAATTCGCTAAGTATTAAGAGAATACCAAAGAACAACTTTGGTATGCAACGTACGATGCGCCGATTTACGCCATCTTCGTTTTCCACAACACTCGCTCCAGCAACGGTGAATATATCTGGTAATATGAATCTTGATATCATCGAACAATTGGAACCAGTTACATTAAAAACTCGTCAACAAGCGCACCTCAGCCACGTACAACCGCAAACAACTTTATCTTCAAGACCAAATGAGCCGGCAACAATACCAGATCAAAACGCAGACATCGTAAAACAAACTCGTTTGGAATTTATGAGAAATGAATCAGTTGAAGTGAGAGGGCTGAAGCAATCACAGCCGACTCAGACACACATTGGTTCAGAAGTTGAAAAGCATGGGATCCAGTCTTCGATTTTGCCGCTTACTGTGTTTGAGAGAAAGCACAAGAATCAGCAAAATCACATTCTGAAAAGTTTACCAGATGAAGTTTTGAAAGAATTAAAGATGCTTAGAAAAATACCGAATATTGATGAACTGACAGCTGATATGGATTTGAATTTAATGAATCAACCAGGAGGATTCAATCAGCTCAAGGAACAGTTCATTGAGCGCTTCTTACAATGGAACAATATCTCACTATCACCATCATCGAGGGACGACGATACTGTGACCTTTTCCAACTTTGGCCGAAGTTGATCAATCAAGAAATGGGACAACCTGAGGGAATGAAGGCTAACGCTGACTGCAGACTGCACATTCGTAGCAACTGATGTTTGAGATGAAAGCGAAACAAAACCGATAGGTGAAAATTGACAAATCTGAAGCGAAGTTGAATTACGTGACTTTCTTCGGCGAATTTATGCAGGGATTTCCTTTATTTTTCAACTATTCTTGCCATGAGATCGTTGTGATTATTGCAACACATTCGTGATAAACATATTCAAGAGTTGTTTCACTTGACCTCAGTCAGCTGTATTATCCACTGACTCTACAAAATCAACTGAGAAAATTTGCGATCAATAGAGACGATAACATGACAGAGGAATGAAATGATAAAACTTGAGTGTTGATGACAGATTGTGATATACGAGTTAATTTTCACAAATTCCATTTCACTTTCTTGTTGGAATGCTAGAAGATTGCAGTGAATAAAAAACGGTTTCATTCTTCGCAAAAGAAATTCGCTTACTTATGTTTTGATTCTCTTACAAGCACAGTCTTGAACTGTCACACTTTCTGTGCAAAATTAACTGGTGTTGTTACCACTGGTTTCATGTAGGCAAGTTGACTGTTTTTGGAGAACAAAGGTTGAGTTGAGAGCAAAATCAGGCTCGGAAATCACCAGCCTAACTTCATGAAAAACCATAAAACTTGCTTGTCAAGGATATAATCGTAGGATCATTATTTTGAAATTATCTGCATGCTCACGTTTGATGGGAAAACGCATAATTAGTCAATACCGGATAAAACAGATTCTGTGGTTTAAGAAAAATAAGCGTGTTGTTGATGAAAAATTCGTATTTCCTGAGATGTACTTGCATTCGGAGAGGTTTATAGCATGGCACAACTATTCTGTTATGCCGCTTAACTCTATAGCACATTTGCTAAATTGTGGACGAGTGATACTGTTCGGTAACAATAGGATTATCATGGTTAGGGCATCAGCTAGCACTGCTTTTATCGAAAATCATTGAAGTTTTTGATTTCTTCTCGTATAAAACGTGTCGAGTCACACGATGAAATTGCATCTTCATATCTAGCAATCCACTCGCACCGTTCGAACGATTGAAAACACTATGAATATTTGTAGAAGCCATTAATCTTCATCTAATTTTTTGAGGAGTTTCAATCGAACTTCATCATTCAGTTTCCTTTATTGTGCAGAAATTTTCTTCTCGCTAAAACACCCGCTAAGAGTACATCAATCCTTGCAAAGTTTGATATGCTCCCAATTTGTCAAAATCATCGCCTTCTGTATGGATTCTTTTCCTTGCCTTTTCTCGCCATTATAGTTCGGTTTTATTGCCTTTACTGACTCATATTTTGAATCTGTTACCTTGAAATCAGTTCTAGTCAACATGGTGAATGAGTCATCCGGAGGAGATCAAGAAATGCAAAGTTAGTGTAGTCGATCGAATTTTATCACAAAATGCAGGTGTCACGAGACGGTGAAGGTGCATGAATTCGATCTTTCAGAAAATATAGTGAATCGTTCAACGTTGGGTGCCGGAGGAAAATTCGGAAGCAGCAAGGAAAATAAGGAACCTGGAGGTATGTAACCGTACTTGTGACCCGCGGTTGTAGACATAACGGTTGTCGTTTTATCTTCGTGTTACAACACAAAAACTCAGTGTTAAGGTGCATACAATGAGAAATAAATTCCTAAGAAAAATGCATTCAAAAGCGCATCTGACATCGGCCAAAACAAAAATTGCCACATACCAGCGTTTCTTTAATCTCAGCTTTTCATTCGACAACGGACCAGCAGCCACAGAGACTATGGGAAGGGGTTCAGCGCTCCTCCCACAAGTTTTTCCGAGACTCGATACTTTGAAGTAGTAAATATGATGCTCAACATCACTACTCACTAAGAAAATTCCAACAAAACTACACTGTAAGTGGGTCGGGTTTTGAGGGTTTCGTTTCTCCGGTAAACTCCACTAAAACCTAAAACAGGCCTCACTTCTGCCCCGCTTCCCTCAAATAAAAAGTACTAGCTATAAGCTCGTTCACGACTCTCCTTCGACTGACAAATTTTAACGTCAGTCACAGTTCGACAACTTCAATCCCTATCACTATGATGTATAATGTTCTGAAAAGTTCACTGTTTTCATTTTTTCCGCGATGCACAGTTTGAAAAGAACATTACGAAGTGAATGAGCGTTACAAAGAATCGATTATTACATGGAAAAAAGCGTTTCGACATTCATTCATTCGGGGTAATTATTCATTCAGGGGAATTCGATTCGAAATTGTTCGTAGGTAATCGGTCGTTATTTCTGCATAAAGACAATTCCATTCCGATCAGATCGATGAACAGCTTAAGAGAGAGGTGAGAATTTCTGAAGTGCGATTCACTGCACTTATTTTTTTTTTGAAAATATGCGACATAGGAGAGATTATTGGTTGATGTGTTTCCTCTGAATGTGACCAATGATATCTTGATCTGTTGTATCAATGTATTTGTTGTATCTGAGATCACAGAACGACAACAGTACTTCAATAAGTTCTTTATCAAAATAATGCTGGAATTATCTATTGAATAAGCCGGCAGGTCAATGGCTTTTAAGAGATCTCCGTAAACGAATTCATGGTGCTGTAACGAGAAATCGCATTCGATCACAAATGATTCGCACATATAACACACCTGAAGCAGGTCGTACATTTGCCAATCATTCATCGAAATGTCCATCAATCGAATGCACGTTCACGGATGGCAGTCTTTGTGAGTACATCTCTAGCAAAACGGATGATGATGCAGATCTCATTTTAGGTTAGTTTATTTCACCGTGTATGAATGTGTTGTGCAATCTCTCAGACTGTCGTTTCTATCAGATAACATTCAACTTATCTAGGTTTGCCAGCCGGAGTGAAAATAAGTGAATGGCTTATATCGAAGGGTCGAGTTGCGAACAGCCTGACTGGCATACCAGCGGACTACACAGGAAGTAAGCAAATTGGTCATATAATGCAATCGCAAAATTGTTATTTACGTTGGATTTGGTGAGAAAGGAGTAACCTCTTAAATCAAAGCTCTTCGTTTGCTCTGCATAACACAAAAGTGCTCTCTCCTGAAATTATTGAGTCTATTTTCAGCAGGATCATTTATTTACGCTGGTGAAGTGGATGATCCAGAAGTTATTTTCACACTTTCAACGAAAAGAAGTGTCAATGTAAACGAAATTTCAATCCTTGATTTCTTAGTGTATATGGCTGGTAGACATGGAAGACTGCGTGTTTGTCTAGACACCGTTCAGACATGTCTTTTTGAGACTTCAGGAGAAAATATTAACGCACATTCCAGACAGTGGTTGAGCTATCAGGTTGCCATTCCAAAAGGAGCCCACGTGGTGAGCTTTCTGTACGACTCTTCAAGTTTCACAAGCAATTCATCAAATTGTGTCTTTATTCTAATGTATTGTATTGTATTCTAGTTAAATCATCACAATTATGTGCAATTCTTCATTCAAGCGCACCACGAAAGCAAAACGCCTCTTTTCATTTAGCGTGCGAATTACTGTGGAGTGAACAATGTTTTCAATGGAACATATTTCTATAGAAAATTTTTCGATAGAACATTTTCTATAGACCATCGTCACCAATGTGTCCCTCATTGATTTTCAGCGTGCTGCACTTCGCTACGTAAATTTGGAACATTCGCATTTTTGCAGGTAATCTTTGCTGCTGATCAGTTGAAAAAGAACTACGCGATTGGTTTAGATGAAATTCGACTACTCGATAAATTCGGCTCATCAGGTGCAAAGTGTTACCGTTAATGATGTTGCATCAGTGTCGTTTGTATTCAGTAGACAACAAATAATTGATAAACATTCATAGATCGATTGTGCTGTTTGGCAATGTTCACAGTTGAGAATTTGAGAATGCGGTATGCAAAATGAAATATTGGCATTTCGCAAAGATGACATGAATGATACGATAAAGTCATGTTATGAATGGCTTACTGTTGACAACAATATTTCAAGTGCTAAATTATCTGCTCTATTTGCGCATAGTACAGCAAAACGTTGTCTGATTCTGCTTACATAACGCCTGCTTTTGAAGACAACTTTGTTACTAAAACCAATGCATTGACATATACACTGATAGTTTTTGGGGTCTCGAAATGCGGGTTTCTGTTGGTCGACCGGAAAATTTTTGCATCATTCACACTCAGATGGTGAAGGTCACCTCAAAGCCGATTAGATCGTCTCAAAATGTCAATCCAAAGCTGAGATATGATATCTCGAAAATCTGAGTTTTGAGATCGTGAGGGTGAGGGTATGATCAGGGTTTTTTCGCGTAAAATTCTTTTGCTCCTTTTTCGATAATTTTGGTACCAATTGAGTCGGCTTGACGAATGGATCACAAAATAAGAGAAATAACCTCGAAAATTGAAAAGTGATGACTTTATGACAGTTTTAATTTTATTGTATTATTCATATAACTTCAAAGAGTGACTTATTCAAACTGCTCACAGCAAAGATTTCTAACCGACTTCTAGTAAACCTACAATTAACCATCCATTGTTTAAAAGGATTTTCTAATGAGAATTCTATCATCTAAATATTCTCCAATAAACCACTGATAAATTACCATTTTTCCAGCTACGACCTCTCTAACAATAAGCTAGTGATAACTTGAATTCTTCGTTAACTGAATCCTGAATCCTAAAAATGTGTAGAAATTCAGTTGTTCCCTGAACAAAATTACCAATAGTGAAACAACTTCGCACTCATAACTTCATATTTTGGATTGACACGAGAAGACATCAAATAAACTCACATAGTTTTTAATCTGGGAAGTTTTTCCCCACAGATACTAATCGATTCACTTCTTGTTATAATCTGCCATCAATATCCAACTTCGATGAACTGATCACTCAACAGCGATTAAAATCAATTTTTCGGTTACGAAATCTTTTCCGCTTCACCGACCTCTTTACTTGGCTTCATTATATTGCGCTTTCCCGATTCTCCAATGGCTTAGAAATCCCACACAGGATTAGCTGCTTGTTTTTGGCCACTCCACTCTACCATTTAAAATGCCTTTCAGTGGCCTTGTCAAAACTGTGTGCGATGTGGCAGGATGTTATTCTTCGTTTTTAAAACTCGAATTAAATTACTATTCGTAGAGTTCATTCTTGACAAACAAAACCATCACTTTACTTTTTCACTCGAAGCAGGCTGTAGCTTTCACGAAATTATTTAAGTTGATAATTGTCATCTCTGTAATATTGCGTAAACATAAGTCTTTTTAGATGAGAATAATAAGCTGTTTTCAATACGAGTATAGTATCTGATGAAACTCAAACATATGATTAACGATTAGATCAGTAATGGTCGATGCACTTTTGTATTCGTAGCAATATTCAAAACGTATAATGAATCAGCAGATATGGTTTGTTATTCGTTCACATCCAACTACAAACAGCTATAAACGATCGCAATTTGAAGTTGTAATTTTAAAAAAATCGCGTCATTAAAACGACAGCAGAAATAATAGTGATAATAATAATATTCCCCCACAGATAGTCGCGTATAAATACCGGTACATCGTTGAATACAATCCGAATAAGCCAGACGTTCAGTGCTCCCGTTCAATCGCTTCTGATCCGCTTTACTCACAAATGCACATTTTTTGAATTATGATTCATTCGTTTACTAATGCTGAGCATATTTCCAACGTTATGCAACTCTTTGTGTTGACTGATTTTGTGCTTCGATTCAGATCCATTCGCTTTTTCGTATCTTTTACAAGCAGAATTTCTTGCTGATTTCAGAAAACTGTTACAACAGTGAGCCATTCCTGGTTTGTTTCCTTGCTAATTATTTTGAGAGCATTGTTGGCTTAAAATATCTGATATTGTCTCATGTAAAAGAGCGATTTGCAAATTGTGGAGTCAGATAATACCAACAGATTTAGAGAGAATAATCTCATTCGTTGTCGCTGTCATCCACTTAAATATGGTTAACGTGATTTCGAAAGAGCAAGCCAATATGCTAACTTGAAATTCTCACAGTTTTCTCAGAGGTTCAAAAACAAAAGTGAGGGCGATATTGATGACTATTGCATCGTTATTCAACGATAACTGTTACCAAAAATTAAAAAATAATTCCAGGAATTCTGCCGATACAAGTTGGTATTCAGTCAACATAAATTATCACTGAGTTCAAAAAGTGCCCTCTAGAAATATTGAAGTTGAAGACAATATTAAGACAACAGCACAATGCATAATGTCTTCGCCAATTTTGTTATTACAAATATCTGGCCGTTTTGTATGTGGCTAATGGTATACTTAAGTGAATCAACGTTTGCACTCAATGAACTGCACTTAAATGCGAATAATTTGATACTCACAGCTGACCAAATAAACTTTACCAGTCGGTCGTTTTCTGCAAAGAATCTCACCATTCGTGCTGACGGGTTCACCTTACTAAATCTTATCAATGGTAATGCTTTTTTTTGAAATTTTTCATTCACTGAGCCTTGAGCATTGATTATTGAAAACTTATTGCTAGCTAAAATATTCTGTTTGCGATAATCTCATTTGTCAAATTCTACCTCTCCGATGTGAAGGAAGATTTGGAAAGATCAAAACCATTTTAAAGTTGGACAAACTACTATATTCTTCGAAAGGTGGACATTTTAATCACGCGGATTATGAAATAGACTCACTTTTTTGGAGATTTCTCGAAGTATTTCCTCGTTCAGTTCACTCTGAATGGTCGCTTCCCTAGGTTCTCTAAGTTCCATGAACTTCATCTCTGATTTTTTTGTACGTGGTAACTCATGTCTGGTAAGTTTATATCTTAAAGCATTTTACTCCAATATCGTGCACGCTTTCCATATTTCCTAAACCTTGCAATGTTACGTTCGAAACACACTGTTTCTAAAGGCAACGCTAAACACCATGTTTCGGACATAACAAATCAAGCAATTTCGTAAACAAACACTGCGGTTGGTTACGCATGTGCTTGATTGCAGACTGCTTTATGCAGAACTCAGTATCCAGCATGTAATTATATTCTGTCGTAACAAAGTTGCTTATTCACATGCTCAGGCATCTAGATACATCGGCGACTTCGTCATGACATTTTATCTTCTTGAACTGAAACCCACATAGGAGATATAGAAAACGCCAGAGGTGAAGCGTGTCGTGCACAAAACGTATCACCCGAAGCTGTGGTTCTCAGTCGTTTTTCCCTCCCGCACCCCCTACAAAATTCTAAGATATCCTCGCACCTCCTACAACAGTAGTTAAAATGTCCTCGCACCCCTCACAACACCCACTCTGTATTTCTCATTCACTACAGCCAGTGTCAGCAGTGTAGACAAGTGCACATACCGTTACATTAAGTTCTAGCCTTTTCAAAAATACATAGGCTAAAGTCTACTCTCGTTTCCTTTACACACGTGCATGTGTTGAAATCCGCCCTCGCCTACTTTCATGTATAAAAAATGAAATGTTTTGCCTTACCCCTTGGAATACTACCTCGCACTCCGAATGGGTGTGAGCACCCCTGATTGAGAAACCCTGCTATAATGCATTTTCTTGTGATCAGTGATTGGCATTCTTTTTTGAAGAATTTCCGAATATTGTTCCAAGTAGATTAGTCCACTGTGAAACAAATTGTTCTTCATGAATACACGAATTCTTATTAGGAGAAATTCTGGTTCACGAAAACTTTCATAATTTTTAAATCTTTATTTGACGTTTCTTCCACAGATTTTCATTTCTTTCATTTTTGCAGATGTTGAACAGAGATTTCATTCTGATGAACTTTTCAGGTGAAAATCGAATTGATAAAGAGAACTACGAACTAGTCGAGCATCCAGCATTGGTTTCATCAATTAATCGTTCGATAAATCCTTGCGATGATTTTTATGAGTATGTTTGTAGTGGATGGATGGCTGAAGCTCGAATTCCTCCATATACTTATATCACAACACAATTTTCTGCCAACCTCAGAATACTTCAACAGCAAATCAAGAGTATCTTGCTAAAATCATTTGCCATCGTCTCTCGTTTCGGCAATTCTGTTTCCCATTTCGGCAACGTCTCATTTTCATTTGAGCATTCGTTGAAGAATTTTTGTTTTCCTCATTTTCCAAACAGTGAAATATCGCAGAGCGTCAACATTCATAAGCTGGAATTAACTCATGAGACTTTTTAAAGGTATTTTCATTGACCGAAATCGCTATTCAAAATCTCGAGTGAACGACTTGATGTTTGATCTGTATGGAAAATGCATAGATAGTGATGGGAGAGCACGTTTGAAATCTGAACCCCTATTCGAACTTCTGCGAAGAGTGCGTCAAGGTAAGCTGCTCGCTCTTCATCAGAAATAGAATGACATGGAACTCTAAAGTTAGAAACTTTAGAGTTTCATACCAGTCATTCCTTCGATATCATGAAGCAATCAGCTGCGAGCACCTGTTGCCATATTTCGACCAGTTTCAAATATCATCCTAATAGCTGCAAAAAAACTGTAATCAATAATCAGAGCGATCAGTTATGTAACATTAAGATAAGATTGAATTTGTACTGACGTGAGCTTGAACCGACCCAATCAAATTCATTCCATCGAATTCTATTTGAATAGTTGGCTGAAGACTAAACTCTTTCGTGTATCTGATCATCTGTAATTTATTGATGTGAATAAACATAATCATTTTGAATTATTCGTTAGAAGCGACTGCCAACTACAGTTTTTTATGTTTTAAGCAAAGTTAAAATATCTGACCGACTGGTTGATACTGGTTCGACCGATGTCGTTATTCTATGTGATTGGGGTTCAAACAGACATTAAAAACGTTTCAAGGAATATACTTACTGTAAGTGGAACAAACTTTTAAAAACATTCAACTAATATCTGACATTCATTGTTTCACTGAGCGTATTTGAGTATTCGTTATATTTTTTAGTTTCATAATCAATTTATCTTCAATAAATGTCGAATAATAATGGATACCATTTCGTATTGACAATAGCAAAATCCCAAAATCCTTGATAAGTAATTCTGTCAGAATGATATAATAAATCGCTCAGTTGCTCAGTTTTTTCATGAATACTTAGTTTTAAAAATTTCAACGTTTAGTTCTTACTTCAATTAATGTTTTTCTTCAATGTATGTAACACCTTCCTAGTTCACGCCAAGAGTAACTCGAATTTGTTCATTTGCAGGTCTCAATAACTTCAACAGAAATAAGTTATGAATACTATCTAGATGATCAATACGCGCATCGAATCAAAGCTCTGAAGTGAGCAAATTTCCATTTGTAATTAATTCACTAATTCAATAACTCTTTCCAGAAGAAATATTAAAATTATGAACTGATTTGCTTAGTGGTTAATGCAAAACGTTTGGAATTGCTCGCCCAATTCGAGTTGCTTTTTCAGCTGCACGCTTCAACAATTACGGCTCTAACATCTCCAAACATTTTAGCTCTTCAAATAACTTATTGAACGCTTATCACATGCACAGCGTCGGCTCTGAAATTTTCGTTAAACGACCTGATAAGTGCGTATTGCCACGATAGAACTCAGTTATAAAGAGAGTCGATACTACATTTACGAAATACATCTGAAATACACTCGTGAATCAGCGAATTGCAGAGAGTTTCTCACCGATATTCTGGAAATATTGATAGAGGACGACAACCATCAAGAATTCTTCACAAATCATACAGAAGAAATTGGACGTCGAATTGATTCTTATTTCGAAGTGGAGAGGAAAATTGCACAGGTAAATTGACGGTGATGGATTGATCATCATTTTCTTTGAGCATTGAAATCTCTAGCTATAACGCCTTTCTCGATGAAACGAAGTTTCGGCTTGCCTACATCATTTGACCATCCTGGTAATTTCAGATGCACTCAATTTAAAACAATGAAAGTGATACGAAATTTGCAGATATTAAACCAAACCGAACGCCATCCTGACAAACAGTCCGAGTTGTATAATTTACATACGATGGCTGAGGTGCAAGACCTAGCCCCTTCGGTTTGTTTTCAGTATTCCTAAAATACGTGAAGAAAGAATTCATTAAAACACATGTTGTTTGCATCTTGTGAAGTTAACGTCTTTCGACGAAATCTTATGAGGTGTTGCCAGAAAATCACGATATTTTAGCAGACCGAAACAGGTGTGAAATGCTCAACATTACAAGCATTGCACAAATGATTTCGGCTCATCATAAACGCTTCGTGCCACACATACATCTACCTCTAAATGAATCGTTTCAGGTGAATTGGAGAAGATATATTGAAGGTGTGATGCCGGTGGATGTTCTTGCCACACTTGATTTCAATGCGCTCAAAATAAACATACCTAATCCTGAAGCACTAGCTAATATGAATCGAATGATTTCCCATTTGAAGAATACATCACTATCAGATTATATTGACTGGCGTATGATTTTAGCGCATATAGGCATGCTAGATAGTCGTTTTCAACAAGCTTCGAAGGTTGCTTCTTCACTACTAACATCAAATATTATAGTATAAATTCCATTTAAAATACTTTCCAAGATTTGCGTTCTGAGAATGCAGTTAATCATTGTTGGTTTTGACCGTTTCACCAATTACCCATTGATTTATCCCAGAGGCTGATCTGTTGATAATCACTTTTTTGTTGTGAGCATATTTTTTTGATTTGTTGTTGTTTCTGTTGAGCATATTGAAGTTAGCTCTTTGACAAGTTGTGTTTCTGTTAAGGCATTTAATCTTGCAATGTATGGTTTAACCGAATTCCAACCACTGTGGCTTTCCTGTCAGTCAGACATCATTAGCATCTTCCCGGATCTGGCAAACATTCTTTACATCAAGCGATTTTTCAATCAAGATGTGAAATCAGATATGGAAATTATGGTTAAAAATATTCGTGAAGCGTTAGCAGCAATCATCATTGAAAATGACTGGATGGATAAACAAACGAAAGCGACAGCACTCAATAAAGTATCGTTCTTTTCATGTTCGGCGGGACGAAAAATAAGCACCGAACATGTGTGATAGCTTAATGATTGCTACGAAACATTCAACTAACAAAATTTAGGTTCAAAAAATTAATTCGTTCATTGGCTACGATAATAATCTCTTCAACCAAACAATGATCGAAACAAAATACGCCAAGGTATTCTCACGTTGCATGAAACCCATAACAGAACATTTGATAGAGAATGATGATACTTTGCATGGCATCACTGTTAACGGTGAAATACTCATTTCGTTCAAAATCACTAAGAAATTCTGTATAGTTTCATTGTTTTCTGACACTTATAATCCATGTTTTCATTGGCGACTGCGTTTCAGAAAATACCTGAAAGTATTCATTTTGAAGGTAAGTTACAAATATCGCACGAAGTAATTCAAGTAATTGCAGTTGGCATATAATTCATCATGGAGTTTTGTTGAAATGCTGCATGCAATATCAAGATGGAGTCTCGAGAGACTAATGCGACGACTCACTCAAAAAAATGATCGCAATCATTTTAAATTTTCATCACCGCAAGTCAATGCTTATTATTCAGCGACGAGTAATCAAATAGGTTCGTTAACAAACCTGATTCAGTTCTTTACCTAACGATAGAGTTCCTCACGCCAACGTCGACTGCATCAAGTAGGTCACGTTTAACCGAGACAGCAATGCACTGTTGTTTCTTTCAAAAATCATAGCAGTGTGCTATTGCGAAAAGCCAGCATTAATAGGTAATGTGTGCGGAGAGAAAAGAGTTCGTAAATAGAATTGAAACGACCGTGCAATGGGTTGGTGATGTAACAGGGTCACGTTGAGCTTTGAGGATCTGATTAGTTCGGACGGCATGCGTTTGATTCGGCGTCGGTTCAAAATCATTACTAAATTTTGATGTCGTTGTTAAAGTTTCAAAATAGAGCGAAAATGAAGACAACTCGTTTTCGACAAGTAGGATCATTCACTCGCTTAAGTAAAGTGTTGAGCTGATTTGAAAACGGATTTATGATCAGCATAAGGAGGTTTACCGTTTAGTATAGACCTAGATCAGATTTGCCAACTGAATTTCGAGTCTCTCTTTTGTGAGCAGCTCGTGTTGAGCATTTTCAAATCAGTCGTCTTCTCCAAGACTAGGCAAAAATTTTAATCGGAGATTCACAAATGATTCGATTCATTGCATGAAACTAATAGATTTGTATAAACCAGGCATAAAATGCGCTGATCAAATACATTTATCGTATTCGGTATTCCGTAAACGTAATACTGAAAGGTCAACTGTTTTGACGCTAAATTTTCCAATAATTATTCGTAACGACCTTGATCCCCTCTGTGAATTGTTGTTTGACAGCTATCTGAAAACTTTGAAGTGGCAGACTCTCTCGCTAATAATTGAAGTGGCAGACTCTCTCGATCACCGTAAACTGTTATTTCGATTTGGCGCTAATTACTGTTGCCTTTGGTTTTATTGCTTGTAATCTTTTGTATAATACTTTTCAAGTACTTATTTTCAGCTTTGTTTGCTGGTATATTGCAAGGAGCATTTTTCAATAACTCATTGCCTCTGTGAGTTTCATCAGTTGAGATTTTGCATCTTTTTCACTTTTCCGTAACTCATTCTGAAAAGTCATCTTCTTTTCTTTATTCCATCATCAACTCGAATAACTGCGCATCAAATGCAACTGAATGCATCGTTGCGTGTGAGAAAACACTCGAAGCTGGTTACCAACCACGTATTCGTTACTCTGCTTCCTGCTTACAGTTTTAGAGAACAGGAAAGGAATGTGCATAGCCATTGTCTGTTGAAAGCAACCTCTTGTGGAAGGAAACGCATGCAGCATTTGAATTGAAAACATCTTAAATAGAAATACAAGTTCAAAGTTGCAGTTCGATGAACTATGGTGGCATTGGAAATGTTATTGGACATGAATTTACGCATGGATTTGATGATCAAGGCTTGTTGTTGAAAACATCTGTTCGAGACGTAGATTTATGAAAATATTTGTAACGGTGAAACGAATTTTGACAATCGTTACAGTATGATGGCGTCAAACTTGCTTTTGAAAACACAAAAGAAGGATGAAAAAGTATACGGGAGGGATTTCTCTCAATTTTGATGCTTTATGGATTATGATTCTGCAGGACGACAGTTCGATGAAGTGGGCAATCTGAGGGACTGGTGGAATAACGAGACGGTCACCAATTTTATGGATCGCAAACATTGTTTCATTGAGCAATATTCGTCAGTCGAAGTGCCTTTCACAAATGGGATGCACGTAAGCTAAAAAGCGGTACTTATGAACATCAAACGACTAAATAAAACCTAAAAATAATCGCCATTAGTACTTCTCTTAAACATTTTAATTTATGCCAATGTTGCTCATAAATTCAAGGCCTATTCTATAAGATAATGAAGTGAAGGAATGCGAGTCCATTCATTCAAATCATGCTGACGGCTACAACCTTCGAGTGTTTCAGTCATGGACAACTTCATCAGGATTCAACAAGAATTAAACATTCACCATAATTTCTCTCATAACTTCAAAACATTGTGGCTTCAGAGTATTGTAATTTTAGATGTTTCGAAGCTGTGTTCGTTGATGGTGCATGGAAATAGATATTAATCATTGTTGTTTCAGATCGACGGTGAAGCAACTCAAAGCGAGAACATAGCTGACAACGGAGGTGTGAGAGCCGCATATCGAGTTCGAATTTCATTCTTTCCACTTATATGCACTTGATCATTATGCACTGATTGTGAGTAGATGAATTCATCGAATCATCCAAATATTGTTGATCATCAGCGAACTTCCGTTCTTGACGATAGCTCTCTCCCAACGTGATCAGCCTCATGATACAGCAATCAAAAAATGCAATAGGATTCATTTAAAGCATTCATTTTTGAGCATTTTCAAAACGCTTGAAGTACTTGTTGAAGAAGATGGTGAGGGGGATTAACATTTGCGAAAAGAACCATCTTTGAAGGTTTAGTGAAGATCATTTTTCATAGTGATGATTTTTTATTCTCAAAAATGTGCAAAGAAGCTCGACGTCTGCTATAATTTTCTTCATAAAGTTTCATTTTCAAGGCAATGAAGAAAGTGTCAGCGGAAAATTTCGGTAAAGAGAAACGGATACGTGGTCTCGAGGAGTTCAACCAAGATCAACTTTTCTTCATCAACTACGCCTATGTCCGCATTTTCATAAACTGGTTGCAATCGCTCTAAACTTTTTAGTGCTTCCAATAGTATCATGTATGAAAATCATTGAATGAACACGATATGCTGCTCTAAATTCGAATGCATTAAAAGGCAGCGATAAAATTAAAGCGTCTTTACACTTCAAAACTCGCCGTACTGCATTTTTGCCGGATATTTTCGATGAATCCACATATGCTGAGCATTATCATGCGAGTACGCAATTCCGTCTTCACAGCATCATAATTTTCCCTCTCTGAAGCAACTCGATCGACAAATGTATCGTTGTCCATTAATAGGTGGACAATGATTTCAGTGGAGCGGCAATGAAACAGTGTCATTTCGGCTGATTGTGTAAAATATCATCGTGTCAATTGACAAAATAATGAGTCGACAGCACCTAATTCAGGTATGGTGCAGTAAAATAAGACCAGAGGGGATTGTCGATCTACTTTTGAATGATCTTCACAGTCCGAACAAGTACCGTGTCAACGTGGTGCTATCCAATCTTCCAGAGTTCTTCAGTGCATTCAATTGTCCAGCGCAATCATCTATGAAAATGAACGAGACATGTCGTATTTGGTGAATGCTTTCACTATGTAACCCGAAAAATATTTAATGGTGAGAATATTACTTTCTGTGGCAATTTTGCACCTAGAATTCAGAAATCAACTTTCTTTTTATCACTATACACACCTTCTACAAATAACCCCGAGTGTTTAGGTCTGTATGAAGGTTGCCTGATTCCACGCCTCTATCTGTCAAACAGTAAAAACGACTTAAACTTGATGGCGTCGTCAACTATGTGGCAGTGTACGAAGAATTTGAAGATGACTTAGCATTCATCGTTGCTGCACTCTTTTCGAAGCAAACAATGTCTACCGCATTGATAACTTTAACAACAAATCATGTTTAAGCTTGCTGTTTTTTCTCGCTTTTTACGTTTCGTCTATTGATCAACCGTTCAATTGCTTTCATTCATGGCGTTTTAACACAACGCACGTTTCTAAGTGTTCAGTCGTCTGGAAGAATCACTACATAAATTTCAATTTGGTACTTTGTACGTTTAATGGCTTTTCGCAACACATCTGCCGGTTTTAGATTCTGCATACCTGATTACGCAATATTCTTTAGTGCAACATATATGCTAATGCAACATATTCTTTAGCTTCGGAGTGAACTTGAAGAGGCCTGTATGCAAAATGTTTATTAATTAGCTGAGTAAATAAATAAATTCTACAGCTTGCTTTTGAATGAAAATTCTTTGTCACGCACTGAAATTCAGCCATTTTCCGGCCTTTCACAATCACTTGCAAAAAAAAACTGTAGATAGTCCCGGCGAACAAAGTTGATTCGCGGATTCTACGTTCAAAACTATCCCAGAAATTGGTATTCACTTCCTTGTGTGACTTTTTGGTTACGCGGTGTTTTCGAATATTTTCGGACACTTTTGACAATCAACAGAATCTTTTATTATCATTTGAGTGAGTGTTCATCATTGGTGTTCAATTTGATATCGATCTGCTCCATGAGTTGATCAGCTCAATCTCGCAAAAACACCAGAAATGGAATGAAACTCCATGCAGATGACGATAACATCAAGCGCTAATTTATGAGAAAAATTTCACTGGTCAATCAAAATTTCGCATACATGAAAATGATTATCCAATGAGCTATAACGCAATGTACTCATTGTTCATATAAATGAATACACATAACAGAGTACCCATGTAGCACTTGTTGTTAACGAACATACACAGGATAGAAGTACTTCGCGTGCAAAATAAAGCATTATTTCTCATTTGTTCATGACCACAATTCTCTCGCAAATGCCTACAACAAAATGAAACAACACATCAGCATTTCCTACTCACAACAACAAATGACGGCGGTAATATGGAAGAGAATATACGGTGATGAAAATGTGATCATGAAATGAATGATTACGCGTTGAATAGTGAAAAGAGACCTCTAGCCGTTCTGAGGATTGTTCGTCTAATAAGCGAATTGAATTTTGAATAGCTAACTTCCTGTCATTCACGTATTCATCCCTTTTCGTCTAGATCATCCACAATAAATTTGATGAACAGAAACGATCACCTCTTGCAAAAATAGTATTTCAAATACAACGACTAAAATATCTAAGTCCAACTTCGCTACAGTCCTTGCCACTGGCCACCATTTTCCCGTAGCAAATTGAACAGAAAACATTGGATGATATTACAAAGATTATATCACGTCAAGATGAAATTATAAAAGCAAAAACAAAACAATCACATGTGAAAACAACTCAGTGAGAGAGACAAAATAAACGTAACAATAAAAACAATAAGCATTTGCACAAATGTCTATTGATCGCCTTGTACTTCCGAACAAAAAAAAAATTTTTTTTTGAAATTATCGAATGAACGTTCAATCGATTCTTTTGTAATTCATGAACCGCCTTGTACAACCAGAATTGTGAATTTATATCACAATCTAGCTTTCAAAATGCAACTTCAATTTACTGGATGAACGCATTATAATGATGAGCATGAACACGACGATAAAACGTTCGATGAAAAAAGCAATCCATAGTAAATGTATTATATAAGGATCATTTCCAAATAACATGCAAACACAACCATCGAACCTTTTATCCATCAGAACTGCATAAAAACATTCACTCCAATATTCTAAAAGCTTAAAAACAACCAGGTTGACGACGAAATGAACTCACGTCAGATTTGAATCACACTTAATACCACCACGCTGCTAACAATAACAACAACAACAACAACAAATAAGCGCATCTGGTAAACATCATTAATCTATGCGCACTGAAAACATACCTCTATGACGATACGTAACTTTCAAAAATACATCGAAATCATTGTTCACTTGACAAAAACTCCAATTATTTGCTTTATTTTTCCTTTTTACTTTCCTCGGATGAATTCGTTGCACTTGTTGCCTGGTTACCATCTGTGATGTGTGTGTGGTCTGATCGCGGCTCATCACTGATTGCTTCTAACTTCTTACGTTCCTCCTCTGCTGCCTTTTCACCAGTTGGATCTTCGAGCGAAACTCCGAATTCGTTCAAACGAGTCGGATCAACTCGGTATATCCACCTTTGGTATATATAAATCTGAAAGTTTATAAACATCAATGGAAACAAATCAATCGTCAACGTTCCCAGCACTTTTCCAGTTCATTCTTTACAATTAGCTCTAGAAAAAAGCGAACGGAATTTTCAAACGATCTTCCGTTTTTTCAATACCTTCAGATACTTTCAACTAGTGTTCTGCAGGGACGGGAAAAGCCAGAGATGAAATTTTGCACTCGAGGACCCCGAAAATGCAGTCGGCTCGAAAAAAGTTTGATAACGGAGAGAGGGACGGGGAATCGAGGATAGAGTCTTTGAAATTCTCCCATCCCCGCAACATACTTACTTTCAACTATTTTACAGCAAATCTAAAGAGACGATTAAAAATAGTTCATTATTCTATCAACAATTTATATAACGAAATGCAGATATGTCATTAAATATCTAACCAGGAATATAATATCATCGCGGAAACAGCCAATTCTGTACATGGTTGGCATTCGAATAACGAACGCAAAGAGATCATCAATGAATGTATTGATGAACTTATATGTGAGCATGCGCCAAGGCAGATGTGCCACAGACTTGAGTTTATAGTTGATGAACAACTGAAACAAACAAATATTTTTCTTCTCGAAACTCGTCGTTTTCATTCTCTTTCAAATTCTTTTCATTCATTGAATGAAAACTTACTGGACAGAAATTCTCATCCAAAGATTAAACTCTAGGAATTGAACATTCGCAAATAAAAAATGATCGACCTTTCTATGAAATCGGCAATCATTTCTTTTAAGGAAGAAAACGTTTCTGACTGCGTAGAACGTTGACTAACCTGAGGGGTCATCATAATGAAACCAAAAGTGAGCAAAAAGCCATACAGCATCCCCAAAACCCAATTGTACCAACCACGTTGCTCAACATATACCAGTGAGTAGATGGCATAACCACCAAGCAAAGGAAACAGCACCCACGAAAGATATTTGAATGCCAACTAAAACATATCATCAATCAGTATTTGTAAACGTTTCTGAACAATGAAAAAAAGACATGTATACAAATAATTTCGAACTGAAAAGGTAACTGAAAACCAACTTCGTCGTACTGTCTTGTGTCTGATTCCACATAAGACCCTTTGTCTGAGAAACTAACTTTCGGCACAACACCAAGTATTTTATTCGTCCGATCAATCTGAAAAACGTAAGCGAAATCTATGAAAGCACAGCAACAACCGAATATTTTTTTACGCGATCCAGTAGAAATTTAGAAGCTTAATCAATCGACCGAATTTTATCGCTCTCTTCAGGGACGTCATCTTGACGTAAATTTTGGAGTAGGACTAATTGAAACTAATTATCCAACCGTTATATTGAGGCATTTGGGTATTTTCCATAATTCAATCAGAAGTCCGATGCCAACTGAGAATTTCACAACTACAGACGTATCGTTATCGCATATGTACAAGAATACGATTACGGACTGAAACACGTTGAAGAGAACCGATCGCACAGACAGTCCCTGCAAATATCCTCATTGGGGAACTCATTAAACTGCTGTCCACTCAGAACACAACATAAAACCAAAACCACAATTAGGAACAACTAAATAAAGCATAGACGTTCAAAAGAAACCTCTAAACTCTTTCTTGATCTCCAAAATTGTATATCGTTTTTGAAAGCCAAAAATTCGAAAATCGTGTGCAATATCGATACAGCAATCGTGATCGCTGAAATAAAAAAACTGCAAGTGACGTAAAACGTAACTCGAAAATACAGATCAATGACACAAAGAATCTATTGAGATACGCTACTTCAAATGAATGGAAAACATTTGCATTGATGGAAAGCGTTTATAAAAATCAAAGCAAATACCAGAAACCGAATAATCATTATCAAGTCAAAGCAAACCAGAAGCACTGATATTTAACAAATTCATCAGACATTATAATTCACATAATTCCTATAATCATGATTCCAAACCGGACTTATTTCCCTTATTTATATTGTAAAAAGCGAGCATCACAAGTTGCGAGAGTTAACGGGCTATAAACAAGGGTTCAAAAAGAAACGATAAGCAATGTTTTACCAAGAAGGACGGGATTTGTTTCTAACAGAGCTTGTTTGATGGAATCCTGATCATCGTCGTCTCCTTCAAACATTTCACCTCCAAACATTTGCGACCATTTTCCACGCATCTGAAGAACAAAAGATTTTTGGTACTCAACACAATGTGAACACTTCCAACCCATGAATGACAACAGCTCTTTATTTCGTGAATCTTCTCCATGCTCCTTCTAATTCATATCATGCCTATTCCCTTGAACAAATCGTATACCAAACGAAAACCATACAGTCAACGAATTGAGTGATATACAATATGCATGGTTAGTTCACTACTCTAACAGAAATATGCGAGTAAGCATGAACTTTCAATTCTGTAAAGAAAAATTTTGACAACTTTTCGATACAAATACTATCATCGTTCCCGAAAACAATAAATATATTCGTGAAACTGTCTGTACCTGCTGTGATGCATATAACTGCCATTTAAAAAGAGTCAATGGAGCATAAGTCAGTGTGAAATTCAGCTCGCGGACACTTTCGTTAATTGGCATAAAATCCGCAGCCAAATTCCAATAATCATTGAAAATAAAAATGGGCTGATATGTATTCGTAATTGGTATGAACTTCACGGCTTCATCTAATGGTGCCGGTAGAGCACCTAGAAATGCAGCCTTTTGAAAATTATCAATTTCATATTTCGTTACATCATTATTTCAATTACAATTCTTCAAAAAAAAACAAAGCACAGCATTCAGTTCAAAGCTTTCTAAACGGCATTGCGGAATTTTGAATAACGTCACTACCAAGAACAATAAAAAGAAACAACTCCAAATACCTTTCTGCCATGCTGTTTGGTCGTCAACAAGATTGATCGTTAAGTTAGGATGCCAATGATTCAGAACTTCGAAGTGAATCATATCCGCTTTCTTGCGATCTTCTTCGCTTTGCTCCGTTTTACCCGTCAACAGATTCTGTGTTTTTTTATAAAACTTCTTTTTATACTTGTTGAGCTGATGCACGTGGTAAATCACCTGAAAACTAAACTTAAACACTTTTTAATGGGAATTACATCATGCACTGCAACGGACCTGTAGCATTGTTTACTACTTTTCGGTTATTTAAAAGATTTTTCAAAATATATGCGTATTATGATGGACAATTTTGAATAAACGAAACAATTAAAAGTGCCAATTCCAGCCCAGAAAATAATGCTTTTTGATCCAAAAAATAACCTGTGTAAAATTATGGTCGTGAAAATTTAATTTGGCTGATCATTGAGTCAAACTTATTTTCCGCAAGGCATTATTACAGCAAACAAATCTTGTAAGTTTCTCGGTATCACTAATTTTCATTATTTATCAAAGTGAAATAGTGGCAAAACGATCAAAGATGTGAACATGGAAGTATACCTCACGCTTCACGTAATGTCTATCCCTTGGATCAGGCGACTGACCCTTCTTCACAATGAAAACATGAAGAAATAGGGAGCCGTTATTGAGCAGAACAGAGGGAGTCGGGAAAGTAGCAGATTTTGACACGCTGCCGTCGTTGTTCGGGCCTGACGTCCAATCACCATACGTGAGATCGTTTTGCTTCCAGAACAAGCTCGTTGGCTCATTGAAAGAACTGAACTGTTCCATCTAAAACAAAAACAATAACGCTTTCAGAGGAACATCGACTGCCAAAACTTCTCGTCATATACAAAACAAAATAATCAAATAAAATAATTTCATAAACAGTCAATCCTAGAATAAACGGTAACACTGAAACTGGTCACGATGAGAACAGCGCACAAACTAAATGACAGAATATCAAATTAGTCGTTATTCTACAGTGAATAATTGAGATAATTTCACCGAAAATACTCAAAACAACAAGAATAGCAGTGCTACTGATATTTTATTACACAGTAATTCATGGGTATTTTATTAATCGTGAAATCTGAAAAATTTATGAAACAAACCGATTCAGAGAAGTACACATACAAGTCAAATTTTTGGCCAGGTGGAAAAAGATTCTTGGATGGTGGCAACACGGTCGTTGAACCACCACTATCATTTAATCGTCCACCTCCACTATTACCAGTGAAACCTGAACAGAAGTGAGTAAATAAACAAATGAAAACAAAAGAATTTTTTATCAAAAAACATACTTCTCAATAAAGATGTGACGAAGTAGATGACCATTATACGGAAAAAAAGATTCTTGATAAATGACCATGTATCCGCTCCCTGAAATACAATTATTATCGTATGGATGAATGTAGCTGATATGGCTAGAAAAGAACATCTCACGTAACATTAAAGACTTTTCGTGGATTTTTACTTAACCGTTCGCATCCTTGAAATTGAACCTGAAAATCCATTGCATCAGAGATGGGCATCATCGCAACTAGCAGAAGTTAGAAAAGTAGCGGAACAGCTATTTCGCTAATTGGCCAACTTCCACTGGAGCGCGCTGATGCCCATCTCTGCGCTACATAAGAGTGCCGCCTTGACCTTCTGCCTTCAGAAAACAGTCTTCACAGTGTCATCACTTTTGCTTCGTGTTGTCGTAACCGCTGCTATTTCTTCCGTTTGCGATCGTTTTCCTGTCCCGGGATTATCCCAGGATTATAAGTTATCCGTGGATTTAATTCCATTCCTCAGACCGAAAAATGGTCCGGATTCCATGAACACTAATGCTCACCTGCTGCTGTTGTGTACCCTCATTGTTTCCGTCCACTGTTGCCACTTGGCCATCTGCCACACCATCAGACATTGTTGAGACACCAAACAAGTTGAGAGGTTAAATATATTAGATCTGAAATGAGTTAGATCAATGATAAGCGATAAATTAATCAAAACAGCATTTTGTTCGTACGCATTCGCAATTCACTAGAATATGTTAGTATGACTCAGAATTAATTTGTTAAATAATTTTAATAACCCAACAGGCGCAAAGGATTACTCAGAGCAATATTAACGATCCGGCTGATCCTCTCCCATTGATATTAAATTCATTACTCTCGTTATGTAATCTACTGATGATACACAATTACTTAACCGCAAATGCGCACCGCTTTCATTCTAACAACAATTACCTCAAAGCGATCATAATACAACATAACAAAAACGTTTACGCTTCATGCTTGATCCCCACACACCACGTCAGTCAACACGCAACAGGAAAGCAACGCTTCCTTGACTTTCCTACCCAACACCTAGATTCTAAACTAAACAACTCTACCGGGCACTGACTGACTTCCGCATATGTCTCGGACCAACCCTTCCAGATACATAATTGAACTGAAAACGTAGGATGACAGATATTTACTTCCCGGACAAGTAGCATCCTTGCAGCGTAGTACCCGGTTATTTAACCCCCTTAGTTTGTTTCGGTTCGATTCGATCAATGTGAACGCATGTTATATACACCGTTTGTAAGACTCGCACAAAACGGCAAATATGCGTTCGCATTGCTGAAGTCAAACCGAAACGAACCATGAGGGTTAAATAAGTGGTTGTGAGGGGACTACTCGCTACGGAACTGGATATACTGGGCTGAAAGGTTACTTTTGAATTCAAACATATTCTAGAGCATCTTTTCCGCTACGATTCCGTCGAAGCAGCGCAGAAATCAGCACAAATTCAATGATTGAAAATTGAACGTTAGTCGTTTCACGCATCTATTGTTGGACGGCTAAGATGAATGGGGAACAGACACTTCGCCAAAACGTGGTGAAGAGAGTCGTCGGCAAACTGCAACAATCATTTGGATCAGTGTAAGCCATTTACATTCTGAGCGTTAATGCAAGCCTAAGCAAGAGCCTCCGCATAGCCATCAGGGTAATCTTGAATCGAAAACCTAAGTATACAGCTAGTGGTTCAGCCCTCTAAGCCGTGATTTCAGATCTAATATATTTAAGCCGTGATCATAGCAGAAGAATTGAAGGAACAAAATACCGTAAAAGAAAAGTTTTTTGGTAACGTCAAAATCAAAATGAGATGGGCAATTATTACAATGGTTGTACTAATAAGTCTGGTTATATGAAGCAGTAAATTTACAGTGTTTCTGGGATGAGAGGGTACAAAATTGAGCGTTCGAGAAGGAATGCGAGAAGGATGCCAAGATATTCGGTCAATTGGGACATCACAACTTGATATTATAGGACGAACGTTGAAATGAGGTGGATCTGAGGAGGACGAAACAAAGTCAGCTTCATGGGTTTTGACTAGAGATTGAATGACCGATCACGACAACGTCATTTATCAGCGAGAGGATTAGCTAGATTATTTTTGCAAATGAATTGATTCTGAATTATTTTTGTTAACAAATGCACGTGAAATAATATTGCAGAAGGAAGAATCAAAATTGCGCAATAGATTTATCAAGCTCTGTGGAACAAATCACAAATTCTCCACCGCCGTAGAAAATAGATATCGAAGTTCGTATCAATGTTTTTTATAAATCGTCACATGAGAGGAACGGTTACCGCGAGTACTTGTTTATCACAAATTGGAATAAAAGGGTGGTACTGATCCTTGAATTGCATTTATTCAGAGGACATAATTCTTAAAGGTTTGCGTACGACTATTTTGTAAGCTGTCAGAAAAGCGCTAATGAGAAATCCAGTATAGGCACATGAGCATTGTTCTTTTGGTAGTATTATGTTGCATTTGGTAGGTGATCATTTATGTTTCGTACAAATGGCAGTCAGAATGGAACAAAAAATTACAAACGGAAAAGGTGGACGGTGTCAAGAACGCGAGAGCTTGAATCAGCATACACTTGCCTTTTTTCTCGAGATTCTACTAGCCATTCATATGGCTCTTTCAGGTCTTGGCCATTCTCAAAATATTTCTCATCGAATTTACATCGTATTCGTAAAACTGGAGTGGGTCAATCTGACTTGAGTGATTTTTGCAGTTTGCCATAATTTTTTTCAATCTCACTGTTGTGTACTTGAAAAAATTTCTCTTCTGATTATGACATTATTTCATGGCTGAAGTAGTGTCATACTATACATGATCGGCATATGCTAACAACAGCAGAGTAAACGTATGCCAAAGTGCGAAGTATACCATCTTAATCGGAATTTCGTTTAAAATTGTACCTTTCTGCGTAAATCCTATTTCGCCCAAACGTTTATGTGGCAATTTTGCATTTCATTGCAGTTAATGTGCCTAATAACTCCCTAGCAACTCAGACTTTAGAGTTTCCAATTGCGTGTTCCCTTTTCCTGAGCAGTTTCACAGTACTTTCTGAGACTCCGTTGTTGCATGTGATTGCATGTCTCGAACCAGCTCATAAACATTAAAAAATCTTTAAGTTTATAAGTTCAACTTTAACCAATTCATTTATAAGTTCAACTTTAAAAATATATGTTCAACTTTAACCAATTCATTTATAAGTTCAACTTTAAAAATATATGTTCAACTTTAACCAATTCATTTATAAGTTCAACTTTTATAAATTTCACAATATTAACAAAGCAAAAACGCTAAAAACGCTACAAAATTATTGAAAATTCCATAGTTTCGTTCAGATCGAAAACATCATAAATAATTTTAACAACCTAAGACCACAAATTGATTTTATAATTAATGCATCACAGAAAATTCAAGATATCAATCAATTACACTGAGCAAATATAAGATTAATGTCAGATTGGTTCAGTACGTCCATGTTCATAGTCTCGTGGTAGAACCGGTTCATTGAGTGAAGAAGACGTATTATGATATGCCATCGATCGGCTGGATTCATTGGGATGTTGTTGCAACGCATCCGATAATATTGTATTATTAGCGTTATTCTCGTCATTGTCCGATTGATTCGAACTTGTGCGCGGTCTTTCGATATGCGAACGATCGATTGGTTCATTAGTCTCATGGTGCACATCAGCAACAATGTCTCGTTGATGCCCGCTCCTAAAGGTGTCTTTGCACTTTGCAAGAATAAGCCTATTTTTAATAGCTTTTCTAGTGCTCGTCGGGGAGCAAAGCAAAGTGGACAACAGGGACGGGATGCCGACAAGAAGTCGGGAAGCGAATTAGCCGGTGGACGGATCCCCACAGGGAAGCATTCGTCCGGGGAGGGGGGAGGGGAAATCCGACCAAAAAGTTGGTGAGCAGAATTGTCAGGGAACGGGATTCTTATAGGGTAGCCCGTCCCCTGCCGAACACTAGCCTTATCCAATGACCAGCTCATTCAGGCATTCATGCGTTTAATATGAAATGAGTTTTTTAATGGCAGATCTTTAATTCAGTAAACAGCGAAAAAATGCTACCAGCAGATATGAGCATGACATAATTCATTAAGTAA